ACGGTCTGTCGATTTTATTCATCGCTAATCCGGGCAACCTTGATTTTCGGCACCGGTCGCCTTCGTATCAAGGAATACGAATACCAAACGTATTCCTTGGCGCTTTATCCGGCCACGGATCTATCAGCCACGGCGTCTTCGATGGGCCATCATTCGAACCTGCCAAAAATAAACGTGTCTACACGCGTCTTTGGTGTCCGGCCTAACAATTTTTCAACAGCTTTTGCTTGCTCATCGTCGTCTCTAGCCGATGAATCTTAATTAATGGACGGCATCAATTTTTTCGTTTTACGAGGGAGATCGTATCGGTTACATAATTCGGTAACTCGATTATTCAGCGACCACAAAGCGGTAGGTTTAATTGTATCACGGCGATTTAGCGGCGGTTGGAAAGTGTGTCACCGAGACGGCTCGGTTATCTCACTTTCTTCGGGTTCACTCTTGTTCTAGAACAATCGGCGACGATTTCGATACGATCGCGCCGATGATCGATCGATTGCATGTCGATTACAACATTATCGGTATTGTAACTTCCACAAGCGTGGAGATTCTTAAAGAGACGCCATTCCATCGAGAACTCGCATTCCATTCGTTCGATTTCTAGTTTCTCCGAACGACCTGTCCATTCGATTTCACGCGAAGAAAGAAGGATCGAAGTGTTCGTGCCCATGAAAAGTTTGTTTTCCATCTGAAAACGGCTCGATCGCGATACCGGGCAATCGTAAAAGTCTGAAGCGTTAAGGACTCGGCCGTAAATCAGCGCGAAAACCGCGCGCGAAAATAAACGATCGAACGATCGACGTAAGCCGCGACACTGGAGGAACGAGCCACGGCATCCGGTATCTCTTTCATTGTTAATCCCGAGTCGCGCGAGGAGCCTTGATTTTGGCCGAGCCGCGGGACCTTCGTCGAGTCTGGGCCGGTTCCCGATATCCGTCGAGGAACGGATCGGATCGAATCGATTCGTCTCGCCGACTCGAGTCGTCGCTTTTCGCGGACGCGCCGCGCCGCGCCGCGATCTTGAGATTCCGTGCGCCCAAGGCGCTTCGCCTGCGTGGAATCAAGATCGAGAGATCGCGAGAAAACAGGGCCGTTTTCTGCGAATCCGGCCGGTGATTCCGCTTAACTCGCTGACTGCCGCGGGGGTTACCGATGATCGACACTCTACTTTTCGATAGAGCGAATCACCGTTCAGTCGAGTCACATTAGCGTAATCCATTCGATTAAACGATGATCTTTCTTAAACTTTATTCATCATAGAGTAAATAACACAAAGCGATGATGCTCTTTGAGCTAAATCTGCAGGAAGCTATAATATACCGCAACTAATACGTTAAACGCCAAAAATCTCGTTTCCTCATAGAGCTTTTCTTTTCTAGTAGAGAGAAGCGGGAACAATTATTAACTATTTCGGGTTACAATGTTTGCATTACACTATTATCAAGTTAGTTACGTTATTAAAAATGTTCATCTCACATCGGTTATCTTGTATGTTACGATTGTTTTCTAGTCACTCAGAAGCGTAAGTCATCAGTGACTGACATGGCGCTTAACGTGTTAAATAACTTAATACTACTCTTCTCGCATTACATAATTGTTAATCATCAATCCTGTTCTCTAATATAAAAACTCATCTTCCCAAGAAGACACTCGAGCTCCAAAACTCACGAGTTCCCAACAACAAATTTCCCGTGACAGTTTCGGCGAGATCAAAATTATCCGCGGCTATTTTCGGCAGTTTCGCGCGGGGCATCCACGAATCCGCCGCGGTCTCGCATGAACGACAGGGGTCCTCGCGTGACTGGGGATATTTTAATAGATAATAGCTGGCGCGGCAATTTTATTTCGCGTGCAGCTGACGAGGGTTCCGATCGTTCCAGTCACCTTGAATTTCAACTCTTTTTACCAGCGATTCGCGCGGTTTCGAGATCCGACCGGGTGGAATCGTTAGACCGCTCGTCTCGCGAGGGCAACCAAGAGACACGGCCGATCTTCTGGACGAAAGCGACGATCGGGATCGACTCGCGGGATCGAAAGAACCACTCGGGGGAGAGCGGCCGGCATCGAAAGCGAAATGAAAAATTCCGCGGTGGAGAAAAGGGGGCGCGGATAAAAAGGAGCTTCGGCTCGCTGCCGGCGAGCGAGAGCTTTCCCGTTATGCGCCTCCTCTCTAAGCTGAATTCGAGCTGCCGGCCAGAGGCCGGTACCGCTAGCTTCCCAGAAATCGACGCTCGATAATGCCTCTCGATACGGATGAAGCAATCTCCTACTGTCGCACCGCCGCGAGAGGGGAAAAAAGGCTGCCCCGTGCACAGAGGGTGGGGAATCCAACGGCAGGTGGGGGGCAGTCGCGCATATACTCGGCACCACTAGGCTCTCATGTTTTATTCATCGATTTAAACGAATTCGTTGGTGTACACCTCGCTGCGCGCTTCCTCATTGTCACCGCGGACCGATAACGCGATCCCGCCCTTATCTTGCTCGAGCTTTTGGGACCGGGGCTCGATGTTCTGACGCTGGAAGGGATGAAAATACCTTTCGCGACCTCGTTCCTGGTTTTCTGGGTTCGGCAGGGCTGTAACTTGAGCCAAGCGGAGAGACGTAATTGGATTTGTGGATATAGATTTAGGTAGATTAGGGTCTTTGATAGAAGGAGCTTGGAAAGATGAATGGAAAGAATTGTTGGGTATTTAATATCATGATTCTTGGGTTATTGAGTATTTTTATTTAATATTGATTACTTTATGTCAGTTGGTGGGTAATATTATAGGTACGTGTTATGGAAGGTTTATCTGAGTTTTACGAAAATTAGAGTCGTATCGGAAATTATTGGGTACGAGGTATGTTAAACTTGTAGAAATTTTGATAAGAAAATCGGAGATGTTTCTGGTTCCTGATGCGATGTTTTCTTGATATGTCTAAAGAATGTATCGATACAGAAGGAGAGAAACAAAAGGCTTTCGTTTCTGCGAAGGTGTTTAACAGTCCGATCACGAGGAAGGTTCTCGAACGTGGAAGTGGATCAGGTAAATCCAACGTCGGAAATAATTACGTCTGACTTAAATTCGATTCTACTGTGAGCTGACCTACTATGGTCGGTCGCGTTCAATGTTGACGCACGACCCGTTGTTTCGCGTACTTGCTAGAATCGATCGATTCAGCTGACTTGCGATTGAATCTGATATCCTCGGCCATTGCAAATCAGAAATTTTTGTAGAATCTCAGACGCTATAATTTTCCACTCGTGCGGCGCGGTTCGTTTCCAATTGGCGAGACGAGAAATCGCGTCCGATCGCCGTGTAATTTCCGTTCGTGTCCCGATTCGAATCGACGGCGCGTCGAACGACAATGTTTCGAGGATGAGACCTTTCTCACGATTCCTGTTTGCACCGAGCGATCCCGCCTCCCGTTTCCCCATTTATTATATACGGAGCCCGTGTCGCAACGTCATTCAAGCATCAGCGAAGTTGTACGTCAACGAAGAGACCACTCTTTTTCGCTTTTTTTTTCTCCTCTGTAACGTCGCATTTACTTGGCCGGTGTGCACGTCACCGGATTGCGTAACGCTTCCCATTCAACATCCTGCGGAAGGAAATTCAGATTCGATCGATCGATCTCCCCTGGGCCGTGTGTAGTAGAAATGTCACGTTCGTGACGCCTCTGAAAAGTTGCGGACGCGCACGAAGTGTCCAATTTACGTCTCGCGTTACTGCGGGAAATGGAGCCAAAACTTTCGACATCGGTGTTTGGCCAAGCCGCGGAGAATTTTCGACTCGTTCGACCGTGAACGAGAACTTCGTCGAACGGAATGCCAGTCGGGAATCGATCTTTAACGGGAAATTCCACGAAAAAAAAGCGAATAGCCCAAGAAATCAGATCAACGAAACACAAGAGAAAGCGAAAACCCATACCGCTTTTCCAAGCTTCTCGTCGAAATTTCGTCGATAAGAACGCGGGGAACGATCCTCGACGGTTTTTCTCGGCTGGCTCCTCATCTCTGGTCCCTCCTCGACACACGGACGGAGGCCCTAAATGGGCCCGAACGAGAATAACGAGCCCACCGCGCGTAACTCGCGGTGTTATTACTCTCCCCCGTGAAAAACGTTTTTCGGAGCAGGTTGCACACGGTGGACGGGGAAGAAAGAAGGGCCGTTTCGGGAACAGCGAAGGGATGAGGAGGTAGGGGGTCGGGCATTGTGTAATTGCGTCCGGAATCGATAAAACGTCAGGTACATCGAAATGAAGGCGGAATGAAGCGTGTCTGGATGGGAGGCGCAGCCGGTCTCACGAGGTGCCTCGCCGGACTGTGTAGGCACACACCACCTCGCTGCCAGAAAACCCGATGGCACCTTAAGGAGAGAAGTCAAGGGCAAGAAGCGTCCCTTCGTTACCCAGTCTGGCCCAGCTTGGGCCCTACTTGGACCCCACTCCACGGGCAGCGTCCACCCCCTCCCCGGTCCACTTCTTCTGTATCTCTTGTAGAATCCCCTGCTCCTCCAGCCCCTTCACCTTTCTGGGATCACCGTTCCCTTTCCCCTCCGCACCTTCTATCATCCCTACGTCCTCCTCCCCCTCCACTCCTTTCCAGCCCTTCTTCTTCTGGCTCTCCCGTTCTCCACACAAACGAACGCGGGAGTTGGAGAGAAGTTGGCTCTCTCCGTGCTTTCTTGAAATTCGTCTCTCTACCAACAGTAGCAGCACCGGCAAACCAGCAACCAGCAGCGTCAACACCATCACCAGCTGGAGCAGCATCAGCAGCACCAGCAATAGCAGCACCAGCACCACCAGCACCAGTAGTAGCAGTCGGCTCAAGCGACACACCGGGTTGTGTATACACTTACGACAAAGTACGACAGAGAGACCACCACCACCTCCCTCTTCTGCCCTCAGCACCAATCCATATGTATGGGGTGGCGCACAGGCGACGCAAATGTGCTGACTACATTACGCCAGCGTATATAAGATAGCCGACCAACCATCCTATCCCCACAGACCGAGCCAGATCGGCAGACCGTTCACAGACGGGACCAACCAACCAACCCGATCTACCGATACACGACACGACACATCCTTTCGTTCACGGACTCTCACGCGCTCGTCGCACGCGATCCTCAGGGTTTTGTTTATCATCCACCGGTTCCACCAGTAGCCACTTCGGCCGCGATTATTCGACTCGACTCGACTCCACACGATTCGACACCACTCGTTCGTCCGATTCGTTTGTTCGACTACCCGCGGCCGACCGAGAGAAAGTGAGATCCCGGTGTTTTCGGTTTCGACGGTGAGACGACCAGGCTTCCTGTATCTCGTACCCGCGAGACTGTACGTACCGCTGGGTCCCCTCTTCTTCTTCTGCTTCTTCTTCGCCGTCCACTGGACCGTAGATTTTCGGGACGCCAATCACGCTCGATCCTCGCACGATCCGTCCTCGCACCACGTGCCGCTAGATTACCGAGCGGAGCGCAACAACGCCGACCGAGGTTTCCTCGTGAACCCTAGGTCCTGGTTTATCAGCCACCTCAGAAGTCACCTCAGTCGTTCAAGTGTATCCACGGACAGCGAGCGTCCAAGATGATACCTTTGACAGCCACCACGTGCTTCCTGATCGCGATCACGTTCGTCGCGCTGGTCATAATTCTGCTTGATCACCTACGATCCAAGAAATCATCGAAAGAGGACATCCTCGACGGTTGGAACGACAGCATGCCCGAGCCACCCGGCCCGAAACCCTGGCCGATCCTGGGCTCCCTTCATATCCTGGGACGCTACGACGTGCCCTACAAAGCTTTCGGCGACCTTGTCAGGGACTTCGACTGCCAGGTAATCAAGCTCAGGATGGGATCCATGCCCTGCGTGGTCGTCAACGGTCTGGAGAACATCAGGGAAGTGCTGACCATCAAGGGACACCACTTCGACTCCAGGCCGAACTTCGCCAGATACCATATGCTCTTCGGTGGGAACAAGGAAAATTGTAAGGAACATCTCTTTTTTTATATGTCCTTTTTATTTCTCGGTAAACGTATTCGGTTCTCTTCGCACGGATTTGAAGATACGCACGTTCGGTCCCATCGAAAACGTCGGTCGATTAACAGCGGCCGTAAACCGCTCGCAACGATCGGAATTAATTAGACGTCCCGCCGTGACAGCTCGTTCCACGTGTAAAATATCACCGCGATCCTCGGATTTTGATTATTCGAATGGTCCACCGGTTACGCAACGTCTCGTGCAGAACACGAATTCCTCGCGTCCTGATCCGGCCGATCGTTCTCGTCTCGAAGCGCGTGTAGAACTCTCTGGTAAGCGGGAAAATCGATTTTTCTTCGTGATTCGTTGGTCGATCGGAAAATCGGGCGTAAATGTCGGCGCGAAAATCGGAATTCGTCGACACCTCGTCACGGCTGCTGAAAACTCGTTCCCCATGCTAACGACCTTGCCGTCGTACGCGACACGTGAGCGGCCCGGCCCCGCACGGCCGCAGTCCGTTTATTTTTCGCGTGGCTCGTGATTTCGTTCGTCCGAGCAACGCCGAAACTCGTGCTAAGGTCAACGCCGAAGCGGTACCAAGTGCAGCCGGAAAGGTCACGCACCACTTTCACGCGTTCCTGGCTCACCTGGCTGCTGACAAACAGGATCAAGGCTGATCCACCGGAGGCGATTTCGATACACTCGAGCTACAACCACCATTTTCTTTCTCTCTCTTTCGCTTCCTTCGGGTGTCTTGCCGGCGAATTCGCGATTAGAACAGAGAGAGTTCGCTTCGAAGTATTCCGAAAACTTTCCAAACCCATCGACTCGACGTTAAAGTTGAATTCGCGTTGGTACAGTTAAACTTTGAAGTTAAAATTATACCTAGAGACTTCACAACAGTCGTGATCTCAGAACAAATCGATAACTGGCAGCTTGTATTGTTCAAATTTTCATTTCGTACATAGCTTCTCTCAATTTTGTGCGTTCGCAATTCAATTCTCTCTATCCTGGGAACCCTGTCCAAGGGGCAAAGGGACTTTCATAGATCCAAAAATTCAGCAACCCTTCGCGCGCGCTGTAAGCTCAAGGTGGGAATGGTATCCTGGACGGGACATGAGAAACCAGGTCACTTCCTGTTCTGGTGTGCTCGGCGACCGCTTCGATTTCAAATCGAGCCGGCGGCTTCGCGCGCCGATGAATTGATTTTCTGCGGAGTGCGCGCGATCGGCATCTGCTCGGCTTGCATTTCCGCGTGGCGGCGTCCCCCTGCCCCGTCCCGTTGGAGAAAGAGAAAGAGAGAAAGAGAGAAAGGGAGAGAAAAAGAAAGGAGAACCCGTGGCGAGCGAGCCACGGAAAGGGAGAGGAGGAACGAACGAAGCGAGCGCGTCGACGAATTTTTCCTTTTCGCGCCTGACAACCGAGTTATTTCGAAATGCGTTTCCTACGCGCGTCACGGTACCCGCGGCTCGAAGGTCAAGTTTAACGCGCCGATATATATATATATTCCGGCTCGGCCGAGGGGATCAATGAAAATCGCTCGACGTTACGATCGACCTCCGTTATCGTATGCTACCTGGCCAGCGTTTTGCCGTTTGAAATTTAACGCTTGGCTGCGACGAGATTGAAATTCTCTGACCTATCGCCTTGCACGCCAAAATATCTCTATTCTAGAAACTGAAAAGAAGTCGATAAATGCCCAATCAACAACTAACTAATAACCATCTAACGGGAACGGTAGCTCAACGGTCAAACTAAACGATCCCCTTTTTTCTGGGTTACAGCTCTTGCTTTCTGCAACTGGTCCGATGTCCAGAAAGCCAGAAGGGAAATGCTCCGCGCTCACACCTTCCCCCGCGCGTTCTCCAGCCGCTACAACGAGCTGAACAGCATCATCGGTAGCGAGATGCAGGGTCTCATCGACTACCTGGACTCCCAGGCGAACACGAGCGTCCACGCGAAACCGTTGATCCTCCACAGCTGCGCTGACATCTTCATCACCTACCTGTGCTCGAAGAGCTTCCCCCTGCAGCACACTGGCTTCCGTAACATGGTCGAGAACTTCGATAAAGTATTCTTCGAGGTGAACCAAGGCTACGCCGCAGACTTCCTGCCGTTCCTGATGCCACTCCATCACAGAAACATGGCTAGAATGGCACACTGGAGCCACGCGATCCGCAACTTCATTGTCAGCAACATCATCAACGAGAGAGTCGACAGCTGGAAGGGGCTGGTGATGCCGGAGAGAGACTATCTCGATTGCTTGGTCAATCACATGAAAACCGACGCCGAGCCACGAATGTCCTGGAACGCGACGCTCTTCGTTATGGAAGACATCATTGGAGGACACTCGGCTATCGGCAATCTCCTGGTGAAGGTGATCGGATTCCTGGCTACCCGGCCGGAAATCCAAGAACGGGCGCATGAAGAGATCGATGCTACTGGTATCACTGGAGACTACGTTGGTCTGGAGAACAGAGGATCGCTGCCCTATGTTGAAGCTATCATCCTGGAGACCATCAGGATAATCGCCAGCCCCATCGTGCCACATGTTGCTAATCAAGATAGCTCCATCGCTGGTAAGCATTCTTACTTGAGTTTCTTCAATGATCTTCTCTTATCTTCTATTACTCGATAGTTCTAACACGGAACCTCTCATTCAGGTTACAGAATCAAAAAGGACACGTTCATCTTCCTGAACAATTACGAGCTGAACATGTCCACGGAGCTGTGGACCTCGCCGGAGGAGTTCATGCCGGACAGGTTTGTGCAGCACGGACACCTGTTGAAGCCGGAACACTTCTTGCCGTTCGGAGGTGGCAGAAGGTCCTGCATGGGCTACAAGCTGGTACAGTACGTGAGCTTCGCGATTCTGGCCACGTTGCTGAAGAACTACAAGATCGTGCCGGTGGAGAAGGAAGATTACACGATACCAATCGGTAACTTGGCGCTGCCCGAGATCACGTTCAACGTGCGGTTCGAGAGACGGTAGGGTTGAGAAGGGCTCGTAAACGTTGGTCGCCGGGAAAGGGCCGACCCTTCGATTCCGACTGCCTCGAATGAAGGTTCAAACTTCGATCGGAACGGCTCGAACGTGATCCGTCGAAGTCTGGCCCCGCGAGACACCGGGGCCGTCTTGAAGGACGAGCCGAAGAGTGGGTTGTCAATTATCATTAATCTCCTTTAGACGAAGCTCGGATCAGTTTAGGGAAGATCGACCAGGACTCGATCTTTATCGGCAACGAAAGCTTTACTGACATTACTAGGTGTTTAAGCTAGCTAATTTGTTGATCGTCCCTCGACGCGTGAACTCGCTCCGCCGGAGCGAATCGAAGACGATCAGCCACGAATATCAGGAGAGATGACTTGGACTGATAACGAAGAGGACTGACCTCGCGAGACGCTGCGAATTAATCACGGAGAAATGCTGTCGTTCTGGCGAACGCTTTAGGTAAACCTTGGCCCGCGACGATCACGAATCTCTCGCGTCTTTCCCAAGGGAGATCGAGTTGCCGGCGAGATTTTCTGAGAAAACCACGCTCGGGCTCGGCGTCGAGTCGTGTCTGTTTGCTTGTCAGCCGCGTGCTCGCCGCGAGAACTTCGGGGAACGGATCAAATCCCGCGACGAAGGCAAACGGAAGGCACGCGATCGCGGGGACAACGTTCAGGTTGATTAGGCTGCGGTAAACTGGATGTTTTCGGACGAATCAGTGTTCTTAAGAACTCGATGCGTCAAAATCAAGTATACATGCCGATTCTTCTAAACGTTTCGACATTTTTAATCAACGCATCCAGTTAACCGTCGCCTTATTCTTCTCTATAATCTATTTATCGAATAGCTCCATTAACCCCTGGCCGCGTAATTTTCTTTGCGACATTCTCGTCGAATTCGTTTCATGTTAATCCTTTGCACACGGAAGTTCTACAGTAGAAATATTTGAATATCTTCTGATGAGATAAAAACGATATTTCGTGAAACTAACTGGAAGAGAAATCATACGTACATTGAGGAACAAAGCTATTTTATTTCAATATTTTTCACAAGGTATAATATTAAATATCGAATTTTATAGTTTTACCGTATGAAGTCTGATGATGAACGAGAGTCACCTCTCGAGTGCAAAGGGTTAATAAATTGAACTGCATATTTTCACCGTGAATCTCGTCATAGTACAGCAAATATTATCAGTCAGCAAGGGGTTAATCGCAGGTATTCTTCAGAAATCGATCCGCCGTGTCTCCTTCGATCGTCACGATCGGCGACGAATCGACCGATGATTCACGGCTCGTATCGAGATCCATGGATCAAAAATCGCCGAGCGCCGCGGATCTGATGTTGACCCAGCGATCACGTACCGGCATCGTCGTCTGATAACGAAACCTGATAGACGAGAAACCGAGGGAAAACGTGATCGGTCGAAGCAGGCCGAACCGCGACGATTTCGCGCGCGAGAAAACAATCAAAGGATGGTTGAACACCTCGCGGCCCCTCCAAGAGGGAGAGAGCCTTAGGTCCCAACGTTCAAATCGTTCGCGGTATTCCGAAATACTCGAGCAGAGCGTATCCACGTCGCTGTTGATCCAAACATTGATCGTTGCTCGCGAAACCGTGACGAGTTCGAATTCTTTCTTGTTGTTCGTCTGAGGGTGGGCGGTGTGACTGTTGATTCTATACCTTTTTTTACAATCTCCTCGTTTCCAGTTTCTAAGAAGCTGTTCAAGAGGCTCGTTCCCGAGAACGAGGTAAAAGCGAAGACCAAAGTGTTGAGCCGAATTTGTTGAGAAGTTTAAGCGTCTATCGGAAGCGAACTCGTCACGGTTTTTTGGGGAGGTTCCTTTTTTTTGTGGTCGCCGGAGACCAGGCCGGATCACGAGAAATGTTGGATCGACGTTCGACGCATTGGTCCATCGTATCGCTGGGAAAAGTTTTTGTTTTTTTTAACGGGAACGTCGCACCGAAGCGTACAACGTAATAATTTTTGTTAATCTCGTTTCTCGACACCACCCTCGAACATCGTTCTTTCTTTTCTCCTTGCTACATCATCGTTTTATCATCTCTTGTAAAATTCCTCTGGATTCCTTTCGAGCGAACGCCTCGTCCTCGAATTATTGTGAATTCGAGACGGTCGTCGCGGAAACGGGATAGAGAATGATAAAGAACGAACGAGTTCGAGTGAAACGAGGAATGAATTTTATTGTAATATTCAATTATTACACGACTGAACAGTTTTTCTCAAAGAGAAACATCGTCTGTTCGCGGGCCACCCTCGCAGATAATAATTTATTTCTGCTATTGAGCAACGGTTCTTATTATTATGTTATTATTATATTATATTATTATTATTATTATTATTAATATTATTATTATATTATTATTATTATCGCTTACTACTATTATCATCACTATTATCAGTAGTTAGATGTATCATCACGGTCTCTATCCCCCATGTTCATGCTTCCATGTCCGCACGTTATTTTATGTTTGTTATTTAATTATCGTGATTGTTACGACATTTGTTAATTTATTATTTAAGATTTTAATAATAAAAGTGAACATTGAAATTCATCGTTTCTTCAGTCAACCGATATATTCTTCCTTCATGCTCGTTTCCTATACTTTATTCTTCCAGCAAAGAGTGCTCGCTCTTGGAAAATATTATCAGTCAGCGGTCGATAGTATTAAAACTCTAGTCGCGCGCTATATTTTCTTATCGAATAGATCTCGTTGTCGGAGCTTAGCGTCTGCATCTAATTGCAAATGAACACAAACATTCAGTAATCCCGCAGACACTGATAATAAACCGATTTTTCATCAGCGATTAATTAACCTAGTCATCGTGCGCAGTGAATACAATTAGAGAATCGTGTTCAATGATTTATTTATACATTAACATGTTACAAAGCGTTCGAAGTTACGATTTACATTTCGTTAGTGGTATAAAAATATTTCCCTCTGAATCTCTTTCGATGAATCTTATTAACGTGATGTTATTTCGCTAACATATTATTCTTAAATTATAATAAGGTACAGTGAACACATGTGGTCGTTGTTAATCACATCGCGAAAATACATTTACGTAGGTACAGACAGCGTTATTCTCGCGAGAAAATAGTCGAGTTACAATTGTTCGATAAATTCTGGACCAGCTCGAGTCTGATCAAACACCTCCCGCAGTATTTACAGCCATAAGTTCCTCAGGGCCGACTACCCGCCTCGAATTGCCAGCCGAGGCATATCACCGAGAACGATCAACAATCATCAGTCATAAATCTCGCTCGATCCCCATCCTTCGCGAATCAAACTGCATTTACACAACTGCCCCGCCCCGCCTCGAATTAAATCATCTCTACAAACAATATTTACAAACGCTCCAATCCTTCAGAATCAGAACCTTCATCAATCAACGCCCCAACGACTACACTTCTCCAGTTACATCTTTTAGGCTCACCATCTTCTTGTCCTCTTGCGAATCATATTTATCCTTCCTCCTGAACATTTCCTCGATCTCCGTCAAGGTTTTGCCCTTCGTTTCCGGCAAGAAGAACTGCACGAACAACGTCCCCGCTAAAGACATCACCGTGAAGAAGATAAAGACACCGTGCCTGCCCATAGAGGACGCCATGTCAGGGTAAATTTTCACCGTGATCAAGCTGAAGATGTACCCGATACACGATGTCAGACCTGTCAGTACTTCCTTAACCTTTGTCGGGTAAATTTCGCCCACCATGGCGAACGGGACCACCAGGAATCCTAGAGTACTCGCGAAAATGTACGACAGCACGCAGATCACAGGAACAATGCCTCCGTCGTTGATAACGTAGCCCCTGTCCTCCAGTATTAGATAAACGGATAGTATCGCCATGAAGATCGTCATGCCAGAACCGGAAACGATCGAAGGTATCCGCCTCCCGAATCTTCCAGACGCACCAGCCATCAGTAAACTGCCGAGCAACCTGGTGAATCCTATCAGCACTGCCCCCAGATAGGGGTCTATCGTGATCCCAGCGCTGCGTACGATGTTCACCGCGTAGTAGACGACCACGAAGATCCCGGAGAACTGCTGGAAGAAGAAGTAGGCGAGCATAATGAGGAACGGCATCACCGCGTTCCTCTTCAGCAGGTGCTTCATCAGATTCTGCTTCTTCTTCTGGGGTCGTTGGCGCAGCTCCTCCTCCAGATCCGGCGAGGGCGACGCATTTTTTGGAATGCCGCGGAATCTCTTCAGGGTCTCGAGCGCCTCGTCTAGACGACCTCGGTCCCGCAACCAGATCGGGGTTTCTGGGACGACGGCCAAGGTCACCGCGGCCGAGACCACGGGAAACAGGGCGCACATTAAAGCCACCAATCGCCAGTTGTCCTTTCGGAATGAAACAGAATCGTGAGCATTTCGAGAGTGGGAAATCTCGAGGGTCTACAGACTCGGCGTGTAAAATATGTTTCTGCTCTTTGTTCTTAAAGCGTGGCAAATGAAATTATTGGAGGTAATCGAAGAAATCGGTGAGTGCACCGTTAACGTTGAAGGAAAGAAAGAAGACACTCGTGAATCACAGAGACTTCCTTTGGAGTTTGTTAACACTAGAACTAACGAGCACTGACTTTTGAAAATTTCTTTATAAAAGGTGCAAGCGTGGATTTATTAAGATTTTAATTAGTTTACATTTCAGCTTAGGTGTTACTTAATCAGCTTCTTTAGTCATTTCTCAAAGAGGTAGTCATACCTTTTCGGTAGTCGCAAAAGAAAAGGAGTGGGTCATTTTGGCCCATCCGGTAGTTCTAGTGTTAAAGGAACAACTTTGGAAATAAATCTTTCAGCAACTGGGATTTATAGAATCATTTTCACGTGAGGTTATGTTAGTCACGGTCTTGTTGGATAGACTTTAAAATTAAACATTGTTAGAGTCCAGTGTCTAATTGGCTAGCAAACCTAATTACTTGTTAGAATTATTCACTGAAGACCATTAGTAATTGCGTGGCAGTAAATGTCTTGAATTTGAATATTTTCTCCTTCGTGCTCACCTTGAAGAGGTAGCCGAAGATGTAGACGATCAAGATACCTATGGCGATGGCCACGCTGGTCCACGTGACCATGGTGGACCGCCACGCCGGAGAGGCGACTTCCGCGCTGTAAACGGTGGCCGGGACCGAGGCGGAACCGGTCGCGATTCCGGAAATTATTCTGCCGACGAGGATCTGCTCGTACGTCCGGGAGAAGTATATGATGAGCCAGCCGAGGATGGAGAGAACGGATGTTATCAGCAGACTCAGTTTCCTTCCGCGTCTCATCGTGTAACTCGAAAGCATGCAGCCGAGAGGAATTCCCAGCGCCGTCGCCGTGGCTACGAATAAACAATTGCCGATTTAACACTTTCACTGCCGCGTCATTCGAACTTAACCCCTTGACTTATAATAATGTTTCAGACTCGCGATGAACGTTTTAAACAGAGTTTAATGCACGTAAATATTACTCAATTCCTTTGAATTCATATGACTTATTATTCTCCTAGTATCAATTATTATATTGTGTAGCATATATATGCATAGAATATGCCTAGAATTGTTCACCTTCTTTCAGTAAATTATTGATGACAATCTGTTGTACCAATTACACTTGAGCAATATATTATAAGGCAAGGGGTTCACACTAGAACTACCAGATCAGTCGAAATGCCCGAAATTCCCGATTTCTGCTTTTACAATTACTGAAAGGTACAGATGCTTCTCCGAGAAATCGTTAAGAAAGCTGATTCAGTGATATCTACACTGAAATATAAGCCAATTGAAATCTTAATAAATACACAATTAGAAGATTTATACAGAAATTTAGAAAAATCAGTTTAAGTGCTTGATAGTTTTAGTGTTAACTGGCGCAATCTTTTAACACGTTGACTGGCACGGTAGTCACCGGTGATCGGAGCTTCAAAATTGCTTAACCTCTTGTCCTATGATTTATTTCATAACTATAATCGATACAACTATTTTATCGTTAATAATTTATTAAGAATACGACAAATTTTAATGCTTATACTACGTCTACGTTTATTTTAAAAGTTAACGATTGATAATAGAAAAATAATATTTAATTTATATTTACCGAGAATGAATAATACTTAAATTCTTAAATTCAATTGAAAATTTTCGTCACGAGTTTGTCACGCTATTGTAAGTTGAGGGGTTAATTACAATTACAATAAGAAAACTGATGTCGAATAAAAATAGTAACACAAACAGCTAGATGATAGTGTAACACGCATATTGCGATACCAAGTCATTAATAATTATTTCTAATATAATTTGCCTTTGTTACGATAGAATATGTATTGTTACACAAAACGTTCGAAATTCTCTTAGCAGTCAACGTGTTAAACATTGATTTTTTGAGGGAATTGATTTACTACTGGAAGATCACTTGATCGCCAAGCTAACGATTCTATTGATCATGATCTTATTTCCTAATTCTTGATTTGCTATTCATCAATACGGTTACACGTTACCAATGAAAGCTATGAGACTATAAACTATATATACTTTGCCTCCATGACGTTCCACTAGGCATCAAGTTATCTCCCAACTATACGAGACGCAAGACAGTTGAGAAAGTAATCGTTACGAAAAACTCTTGACTACCCAGTTTTGCTTTCATTAACATTTCTACCGAAGGTGTCAAAGGACACCTTTGGAATTTTTCAATTAAAATTTTTCTCCGAGTTTAGTCGTATACTCTAAATTGACTATTCGACTGTTTCACGATTATAAAATTAATTATAGGAAATGTCCAAAATTCAATTGAGGACAAATGATTTAACTGGGAAAATAACTTTAACACGTTCACGGACAGTAAAGAGTTTAATGAGCCGCAAAAATAGAAAAAATGCAGAATATAGAATTATATAGAATTAAATTTATGACAATGTAGCTTATAAATTTCAATGTTACAGCATTCATTTTCATTGCGATGCAAAATGCTATAGCATTCACGTCCGCGAACATGTTTACCCCTTGTCCTACAACAACGAGCGAGACTCGAGATTTTCAACATGATTCAACAAATATGTATATATTACTCAGCTCATTCGAATTCAAAGTAAATATTATTCCTCTGTAATGAACTATTATGCTTAACATATTGACTGCCACGAGAATATCAAGCGTTTTGTTTTAGTAATCCTTATTCCTTCGTAGTAAAAGCAAATGGTATTAGAAGTAAGTAGTAATGATTTGGTATTACAGTACTCAGATTACGCTATCACCTACCTGCTTATGTTACTAAAAATTTTTATACAATATCAATTTTCTTATTGTAATTGTTTTCAAGTAATTGCGAAACTCCGGTGACCACCGTGGCAGTCAACGTGTTAAAAGGAAATATAGGCATAACATATGCTCAGAATTTTTCTCTTTTTCCAATAAATTATTAACGACAAAGTAGCCGTATCGATCACAGTTGAGAGAGAAATCGTAAGTCAAGGGTTTAAGTGAAAATTTCAGAAAGTGTCTTTTGACACCATCGGTAGAAACAGTGTTAAAAAAACCGCCTCGATAGGATGGGATTTTGATGAAACCGATCAAAGATGATACTGACCTATCCAATTCGCTTGAACGCTATTCACTTTCACGTCACTCGTGGGTGCCATCAGTGGTCCCAGTGCCACGGCGCTGTAACCGAACGCCATGGACGGGCCGAGGACAGACAAATTCGCGCACAGAGACATGACTACCTAAAAAAAGAAAGACGAGTTATTGCTGGCACATTTTTAACCTATAATTTTCAAATACCCCATCAAATTAGCTTCGATCGGAATGCATATGTATCAAATTCATTAGAAATGATCTTTATCGTTAACACGTTGAATGCCATGGAGGTCACCAGTGACCACCGAATCGGATTACTATAGTTAAACTATGATTATTTGAAAAGATTTCTATATTATAAATAATGCTGCCTAACACGGTGACATTCAGCTAGGCGAACATGCAATAATAATAATGCTATTCAATCGAATGATTTAATAATACATTTGATATTATTTTGATATATTATTATTTGAGATATTATTTTGATATATTGTTTGAGACTTTATTTTGATATATTATTATTTAAGATATTATTCTGATATATTATTAATGATTTGATATTATATTCTTTCGATATTTTGCTCTATGAAATCATGCGGCATTCAATGTGTTAAACGTCTGTTGAACGGTTAGTTGAAAAGGATTCCTTTCATAACGATTTTTCCAGTGATTATCAGAAACCGTTCAATCCGTTCTTCAGAGGATTTATTACATCAGATGTTCCTCTCTTATCTACGAAGTTGCTTAACGCGATAAAGTCGCTCGCCGTTTCCTAATTCACCGATAACCGACCGAAGGTCTGCCGACAATGAGCCGTAAATCATGTCGACCGGTAATTTTTAGCGAGTGATTTTTCTACCTTTCGAAGCCCGCGCTTCAATTTCACTGGCCGGTGTAATTTATTCTTCGCCGGGAACCTTGAGGTTACGTTGTCGTAAGCTTTTCTGGTACCTCGCGCAACGCGCTGGCATTTCCATGTTACATAAAGCTCCTCCTCGGTCTCGTAACCCTCGACGAACAGGGCCGACAGTCCGTCTCCGAACCCGCAATTATCGTTGCTATAATTGTTAATTAACGATCGGACGTTGAAACGTCGGCAGATAGGACTCGCGTGTCGTTCGCGAAAGAAAGTATGGACAACGGGGTTTAACGGAGATAAATGTTTCACTAGAAATCAAAATATCACGACCGCTCCCCAATCTTATTATACAATCGCGTCGATCGCAAGCGGAAAACTTTTTATTTTTCCCATGGACGTCAATCGACAGCCGATATCTATGATTCATACACTCGAGTTGAGAAATTTCACGAGGATTCCGATCAAATTCAAATTATCTTGTGTATTCGAATGAGAATTCAAATTAGCTCGATTTTAAAACGATCTTCCAATTTAGAATTATTCTACGTTAGTGTGTAACGACTATGTTACTGTTACATTAACTTAGAACGATGAATATTCTCAGTTTTATTCTTGTTACTATTTCCTTTGTAATGGTTACCGTTATTGTTATCAATATTAAATACAACGTTCCTGTTTAGTAATCCGTCCGATGAAAGAGTGAAGTGTACAAAAATCCCGTGAGATTTCTCGATGGTATTTCAGATGAAAAAAATTAATGGATAGAAGAGGGTAGGAGGATAGATAGAAGATATTAGTAGGATCGGATGAAGAAGAGGTGAACCAAAATCCAATCAATCGAGGGAATTTTTTCCCCTGAACAACCCTCTCCCTATCGTTAGGCCTCGTCTTCTTTGACCAATATCGAAACCGGTTTCGGGCGGAGGATCGATTCTCGTCTCGAGAAGACGCGCGAGACACTCGAGGAATAATTAAATTAAGCCTTGAAGTGTCACCGTGCGGTTTACGTAAAGCTGCGTTAAACGTTCGATAATATCACGGTATTTCGAGTTACGCATCGGGACTATTCAATGATTCCTATTAGGTGATAGATCTTATATAAATACATTACGCGAGGAATGCATTGTGATATTAACCCCTTGTCTTGTAACGTCGTAGCAGACTCGTGACACAAATTCTCGATGGAAATTGCCGAATGTAAATGTTACTGTATTCGCTCGAGGTAGAATCGAATGTTATCTTTCTATTACCTTCGGTATTTTGTGTATCATCTATTGTCTTTAGTGATAATCTATTATATTCTAGTAAACTTAGCAGTAAATGTAATCATAAGATGGTCATAGAAACTCTCTTTCTTTCTTAGTACATTATTGACTGAAATAAGTAAACTGTTGAAAACTAAAATTTTTTTCTTAGTAAATTATTAACTGAAATAAACAAACTATTGAAAACTAAAATTTTTTTCTTAGTAAATTATTAACTGAAATAAGCAAACTGTTGAAAACTGAAATCTTTTTTCCTAGTAAATTGTTAAATGAAACAAGTAAACTATTGAAAACTGAAATCTTTTTTCCTAGTAAATTGTTAACTGAAACAAGTAAACTATTGAAAACTGAAATTGATTAAACCCAACTGAAGCGACGTGGTTCTAGTGAACATGCTCGTGAAATAGAAGATAAGACGAAGAGTTAATAGAAATTTATGATGCAAGGAATTCGATGTTAGAGGAAACGAGATTTGAATAAGTGTCTCTGTTCTATTACTCATCTCGATTAATTACCGGATTAGCTAGGACGTCAGCATTTCTACTTTTTAGGAACAAAAGCTGCGAATTATCAAACATCAGAATTATTCAAATGATGCAATGGCGTCACGGTGGGCAAAGGAATTATTAGCAGCAATTATTATTAGTGCCTGTTTACCGTCAGGTATTACGCTTGTCGTATATGTAATTCATTACCTAGATAACAGACGAACCATCGGATTCCTCACTGTTTCTTTCTTTTTTTACGTAAGACAATACGGCGACGATTCCCCGTTTCTGTGTCATTGTTCCACGGCGGATCGTGACGCTATCTTAAGTAAGGTCTGAGACAGCTCGGAAAATCCTAGGATCGTTTCTGTCAGAATGTTTGGAATTCTTTGGTCGTCTGGAGAAATTCTTTCAACATTCTTTGTACCCCTCTCGTGGTCAATTACCTTGTAATTAACCCGCTGCCCTATGATTTTGTTGAATTATTACTAACGCTAAGCTGGCAACAGCAAAAATGCCCAATGTTCATATATCTTTAGTCTAAACAAAGGCGATAGAAAGGTAACCAGATGTGTCTGGATTTTGTCACGCGAAGTCAAGAGACTTTTCTACAGAGAAGGCCATAAACGGTCTTGCAAAGAAAAGCGAACCCCAAATTACTTTTGAGTGTTTCGAGTCATTCGCAATCGAGAACTTGAAAGAGCAAGACGTGTTTTTCAAAGCCGTTATAATAAAATCACACTGTCAAATATATACTGCTTCATTATTTAATCACCCATTTCGAATAGATTTATTTCGTAACTATGATCAATACAACTACTTCGTCGTTAATAAGTGATTAGGAAAAGAAATAATTTTCATACTTATTCTACATCTAGGTTTAATCCAAAGGTTAACGATTGACAACAGAAGAGTAATATTTAATTTATGTTTAAGAACAATAAATAACACTGAGATTTCTGAAATTCAGTTGACAATTTTCGTCGCGAATCTAACACGTAATCGTAGGTCAAGGGGTTAACAATCATCCTGGCGTATTTCGAATCACTTTAACACTAAAACTACCAGATGAATAAATTCTCCTTTTACAATTATTGAAAAGATAATAGATGTTTCTATAAGAAATTTCTGAAGAAATAGATTTAGTAATACGCAAATCAAGTTATGAACGATCGAAGTCTCGATAGAGGCACTCTTGGGGTTACTATAGAAAACTGTTGAAAAGTCAACTTGACTGCTCAAATACCAATGAAACTGACTGATATCGGTTTCCTTGTTTCGCAATTATTGATGCCTTGAAAGCATTGAATGTTCGAAATGATTTCGGAAATAAATAGTTTCACTTGAATATTATTATGAATGTCTGAAGGAACTGAAGATAATCTATTGTTACAATCTTTATAGATGCATATCCTTCTATGCATTCATTTCGACAGATGAAATCAATCTGACAACAACCTCGACATAATAGATGCAGATGAAATGATTCACACTTTCGTAAACACTGCGACTTTATGAAACGTAAGAATCATTGCTCAGTTTCTTATCCTACTTTTGATTGCACAAACGATAGCATTTTTCTCGAGTTCTGATTTAACTTGTTAAATAAATTAACGATTCTAAGAACACGACGAGATCGCGTTAACTCAATAATTTCCGTTCTCTTGATAAGGCTGACATTATTTACAACCTTTAATCCGGAAAAATATAGTCTCCGCGTTAGCCGCGAGTCGCTCGTTTTAATGCAGACGGCGAATAATAATAAAAGCCGCTGATAATTTCTGTTTATATAGACCGACGACCACTGGATAGTGTCACATCCCAGTTGTTGACTTTCGAGAGCTAACGGCGGAGGAACACGCAACAGTGAATTCTCTAAATTGTTTGAACAAACGTTCAAACAGCGCAGACATGCCTCATTTCGTATTCAAGGTATGTTTCGTGCAGAAATTCCGCCATTATGTCACAGAAACATGAAACTAGACAGCGAAAACCTCAAAATGACTCGCTTCGTCTCGTGATAAACAGAAGCAAGATTGGAATTATTGCCGCAATAGACCTCGACGGGCCGTTTGTTTCGACGATAAGCGAATAATTCATTGCTGGATTCGCGTTTCGACGTGTATCCGAGATTTATAGAAATCAAGCGAACCAAGACATCATTCACGCGATGCAGAGAATTCCCAGAAAGCAGAGATCAATTCGAAACAAATCGTTTTACCTGATACGTGACTCCTTTCTTCTCGCGCCGCTTCATTTCGTCGATGTCGAGCTCCATCTGCGAATTAATATCATTATTGCATAATCGATAACTTCAATACAATTCCAATGTATACTCCGCAGCGATCGAACCATCGAAAACCTACGTCCGAAATTTCTCCCGCTCTCGTTTTCACGACGATAAGCGTTTGCGCAACGGATGCGTCGCGCTACGATTAACACTCCGCTCGTTTCAGCAACGAGAAACGTTCGTGCGACAATTAAAAGTCGTGATAAGAAAATGCCACAGGTTTTCTCAATAATTACGCTGCGGTCGTTCGCGCTTACGTGTCGAAACACGCGACCGTTGGGAGACTTATAAAGAAGACAGCTAATGCTGACAAGAATTTTCATAAACGTCCGCGGTTGATTAATTGGCGCAGTTGTTTTTTTCCGCGACGCGTGGATCTCGGTGATCGATAGCTAATCTCGCGAATCGACAAAAACAAGGCTTCGAGTGAAATTTCATTGTCGCTCGCAGAAGCGTCATTCAAATTGGACGCTATCGATCGTTATTGCGACGAGGTTAATCGATTATCGTCGTTATCCGGGAAAACCGACTATAAAATAAATCAGGAATGCTTGATAAGCTGATCGAGACGAGGCGAGATTAGATCAGTTTTTGACAAGATTTCGACCGGGGATAATTCACAGATAACGAGTTCTGTATATACCTTGGCGTCCGTGTGACTCCCCGTAAGTCCGTTCAACTTGTCCATTCCTGCGCGATACCTATCAGAATCCTTTAATGGAATTTTCTGAAACGCCGCGTCAGAATGTCAAGTATTCGGCCGATCCGTGATCGTGGAACGTTCGAATCCGTCCGTTATCGCGCCTCTTATCTTTTTTCAGTAATACCAGCTTTCGATCGAGTACTCCAGAGCACGCGTCCTGCCTTTTCCTCGGTTCTTTTCTCTTCTCCACGATAAAGTGCCTGCGGCTAATCCTGCGTCGAGACACGACGAATCAGTAGTCTATCTTTCTTTCTTTCTTTCTTTTTCTCTTTCTCCCCCTTTTCCTTCGTCGAACGCTTCTCCGCCGAGCAACACGATAAAACGTTCTTTCACTTTCAGAAAACCTCGAGCTCTTCCCACAACATTATCTCCCACAGGCCAACGAAGAGCAGCATCAGCCAAAAGTCACTGAAGTGAACGAACAAGACCTTCTTCCAAAGCGACCAGTGCTCGCTGCCGCCGTTGAACACGTTCTCATACGGCGATTCCCTCAGCACTGTCTCCCATGAATCTGAAAGAAGACTCGCCGTTATAATCGCCCCTTATCTTTTCGAAATGATCCACCTTTATCCGTTACGCTGTTTAATCTGTTAACCGGAAAAGACGATCGAACGCCTTTCCCTGCTCGGAGCTTCTTATTTATTTATCTAGAGACAGTCCTCTTACTTTCCACGTGAAAAAATACGCTTACGTTATCTCGATCGAAAACCGACACTACTTCCCTACCAACGTTACGATTGCATTTACATCAAACGACAATTCATTGCGGATTGCCATCGTCGTAGATGCCTTGTAGAAGTATCAGTACTCCTATTCGAGAGATCAACAGCCGCTTAACAGATTAATCGCTCGATCTTTCCCCGTGACTCACTTTCCATATACTCCTTCGTCCGAGTGGATCCAAAGGACGACCCGCGAATCCTCTCTCAAACCTCGATTAACTCGATCATCGCTCGATCTTGCGTCTATCCAACGCCCCGATCTTCGCAAAAGCAACCGTAAGTACGTTAGATTCTCAAGAATCACTTGCCTCTCAGCGAAAACCACTGGCGTCGTTGACCGAAATCGGAATGCAACGATTCTCTTCTATCGGGAACCGACCAAGTGCTCCTTCTGTTCCCGAGGAATCGCTCGATCGGCGGCCTCTAGCGTTTAGAGGACTCTGTTTCCCGGAGCGCGCCGTCGACGAGCGAATTTTCGACGATAAAAGCCACTCGACGATGCTGTGCAGCTGCCACTCGGAGACTCGTTACTCACTGAATGCAAGTCCGGTTTTATCTACCACGGCCGGCGCGCGTTGCCGATCGCGTCGGGGACCATTCACATCTGCGGCCGCGGCCCGATATTCCGCGGCCGTCCGCGATCCAGGAGAAACGCGGAGCGAACGGCTCCGTCTACGCGGATCGCAGATAATGCTGATCTCGCGGCCGATTTCGCCCAATTCCGTCGCGCGGGCCGACGTAACGATGCTCACGCGCGACGCGCGCGATTCGATAACGCTCCTCGTCGGATCGCCTCAACACATTCGCATCGGGCAACGAGATCGAGCACGCGCTGACTCGCGAGAAGTTACCGAACCCGGGAAATCGGAAAATTATGAAACTCCGTGTGTAAGTAGAATAAGTCGGTACATTGCAATGTTTCTTTCGCGCTGAATTTCACTTTCAAAGGGCGAAACCACCCCTTGAAGAAAAGTTTTTCTTTCTTGTGGATTATCTTGGGAACGATAAGAGATAACGGAGAAAAGTTTGAATGATGTATATGTTCCGGGCAATATGATAAAGCTGAAGTTACACATAATCCCTCGGTGATTATGTATGATCATTCTCCAATGTTATTGATGATTATGCATCATTTCCAGGGGGTTATGTATTATTGCCGGATTAGTCAAATTTACTGTCACATATACACTGTTCTTTCACGTAAAATTGCAAAAAACAATTCTTCGAGAAGCCCGAATTGTTAACCCCTTTCGACGTCGGACTTTACTATTCGAAATCGCTAGTTGCAAGACAGTGATTAGATTAACACGCTCACTACCAACGTTCCTTTTGGGCGACGATCTCTGCAGTTCTAATATTCTATTCAACTCTACAAATCTAAACAAAATATTGAGAAAATGAAACTGAAACGAGTCATTGAATTCCCAAATATAATGCCGTAGCTTATAACTTTAAATAACAATATTTATAGGAGTAATTTCATTCTCTTTACGTAAAATACAATATTGCTGCCGTCGCAAATATGTGACACTGCCAGCGAACGTGATAAACAATAGAATACTGATCTACAATTTTCTTCTTCTGTAATATTCGGAAGTTCGACGTGTAATTTAGCTTCTTAAGGAAAGGTTTCAATGTTTTCAGAAATCTTCGTTTGCGAAGGGTTAATCGTGGAACATGTTAACACTATTTCTACCGAAGGTGTCAAAAGACACTTTCTGAAATTTTACTTACGATTCTTTTCTCAGTTTAACAATTTTTTCCCGATTGAATTTTGGACATTTCCTGTAGTTAATCTTATAATCGTTCTTAGTAAAGTCGAAGATCAGTTCAGAATATACGACTAAAGTTGGAAAATAGTTTTAAGTCGAAAATTCGACAGGTGTCTGTCGACACCTCGGTAGAAATAATGTTAAACAATAGAATATTAATCTATAATTTTCTTCTTCTATAATATTCGAAAATTTGACGTGTAATTTAGCTTCTTAGGGAAAGGTTCCAATGTTTCCAGAAATCTTCGTTCGCGAAGGGTTAATCGTGAAACGTGTTAAACAATAGAATATTAATCTATAGTTTTCTTCTCTAGTATTCGAAAGTTTGACGTGTTATTTATCTTCTCACAGAAATGGTTTCAATATTTTCAGAAATCTTCGTCCGCGAAGGGTTAATCGTGGCAGAACATTGAAATTGTGTCCATTGTCTCGACTTTTACAACCGGAAGCAGCGATTGCATCATTTACGGATTATTATACTTATTCAAGCAGGCCTTGAGCCGATGTCATAGATCGGTCTCATCGTCGTCGGGGTCTTTTCGAGGATCAGACGCCGCCACGCGGCACGTGCGCGTTGAATTAAAGCGGATTAAGACGGTCGATACATTAATCATCCCTTAAATCATTTCTTTTCTTAGCGGCGATGAGTTGTTTTAGATGCTTCCGGTGTATTGTCCAATCTCTATGAGGTGTTCCAATACGTCCGATAACGCAAGGCCTTCTTGACCGATTGACGATGGTATTTTCTAATTTTATCCCGACTTCGACAAAGCGAATGGGAACGAGCTAAATTCAACGTGAATTCAACGAACCAAAACAAGTCGCGGGTGTATCAATTGATATCTTTATCGGTATCAATTGATTAATTCGTCTGCGACGGTCATTCGTCTCGGGACTCCCGAACAAAGCGGTTCGTTTCCCTTTGGCTTCTGCGAAAGTTTTACGTCACTCGAGGTTGACCTATGATTAACCCTCGTCTGGATGTTCTTCGTCCTAAATATTCTCTGCGGTAGTGAGTTTCAGTAAAAAATATGAGATAGAAGGATAGACGAAAATAGAAGAAAAAGAATGTTCCATTCTCTGCTCGTGATCTTATTCCAAATTAACAGGTTGAACGCCGCATAATTTCATAGAGCGCGATACACAAAATGGGGAAAATATAATATTAAATCATTCGATTGAGTTGCATTATTATTGTTGCACATTGATCTTGCGTTATATATAATATAGAAATACTTTCAAATGATCATCGTTTAACTGAGTGAATTGTTGTAATTTGATTCAACGTGTCAACAACAGCTGCGGGTACAAAAATATTTAAAGTGTATTTACAGTACTGAAACAATAATTAACGTTTAAACGATTTTATTACCCAAGTGACGTAACAAATAAATTACACTCAGATCTTCTCAGAAGATTACGCAGGAAACACCCAAACGATTATCTCCCCATAACAAAAGGGGCGATTACTGTATAGATACATTCTGCTGAGAAATCATACTAATTACCACTAAAAAAATTTACCAAATATTCATCCTGAACGAATTGTAATGTACAATGGAGATATTAAAAAAAAAATTAGTGTGGGTACTTTCGAAGAACCAAACTCAAAAGACAGTTGTTATCTTATTGCACGCAGGACTGGTGGGGGTGGTGTAAGGCTGAAGAGATGCTTCTTCCATCGTCAACTTTCATTTCTGTTCTGGTTGTCAATAGGGGAGCAGGCCGAACAACACGAACGAAGATCGAAGACGCCGAACACTGACCTCCCTCTACTACTACTCGGATGTGTCCTTGGCCTTGAAACGAAAACGTGTTTCGGGAGATGAAATCCAACCGCCCAGGTGGAACGATAATTGCTGGCTGGCCGTCATAGAGAGAACGCGAGCCAGAGGCTTTACTTTCGCTCCGTTACGGAATCGCGGCGAGAACAGGCCACGGAGAGAGGTGTAAGGTAAGCGAAAGCATTCTTTTCACATTTCCTTTCCATCTGCGTGCGACACGAAGATCAGTGGATCTTACGGGTCCCCTGGAAAGACGGATCAAGATGTACAATAGTAAATGACTGTCTGATACATCGATTAGCTTTTGAGCTAATTAAAACATATAATTTCGAACGATGCGCCAGATAGTCATTTACTATAGTAAATGACAAAATGATAGTAAATGACTATCTGATACATCGATTGAAACTATAGCTTTTGAGTTAATTAAAAGGTATAGTTTCGAACGATGTGTCAGATAGTCATTTACTATTGTATATCTTGATTCGTTTTTGCAAGGGATAAAGTTAGCTAAATATTAGTTAGAATTAAAATCAGCTCAAAAGCTATAGTTTCGAACGATGTATCAGATAGTCATCATTTAACACTAGATTCACAGACATTTAGTCTACAGTTCGTTACGTCGTTCTTAGAAAAATATTCGTTCCTTTAGATCTCAAAGTTAGAGATTTAAAAGTAAACGATTAGAGTACATATTCATAACTGCGTCAATCAAAATTGACCCTAACATTTAGTAAATAATGTTTATAAAATTCAATGTGAGTCAACTTGACTCGTTCCGTGAATCTAGTCTTAATTAGCTCAAAAGGTAAAGACACCCAGGAAAGGTGTCCAGAAATTGATCAAATAAAATCTGCAAAAAGTAATACCAAATTTGTTTTTCATACGTCTAATTTATTTTGTATCCAGTGTTCGATCTGTAATGCTACGAACAATGAAATAATCGAAATTTCTGACTCTAACGGGGATCGTTGTCACGTGAAATTGTCCTAGAGTAGTGTTCACGGTGATTGTGACAGCGCACGTGATTCAGGGTCTTCGAATTTCTCCTTTCTGTCTTTTTCGGTGTAGAACAAAGCGGAACGGTAACAGTACACCTGTGCCCTTGGCATTCTTGAACGCAGCGTGTTTCAGCGAGCCGGGTATAGGTGTCTGCACTCAAATCGTATTTTGAAACGTTAAGTGCAGATGCGAACGATTATAGCCACGTCATCTGTTTTGCGTAGGTCGCCGGACGGTAGAATTCGATAAGAAGCCACTGCACTTCCTATTTTGCAAACCAACACCGACGAACTTCGGAACAAAGGATCCGCCAGATAGATTGCGACACAGTATATAAGTCTGATAATTACCAGTGTATTATTGTAACGATTTTTTCGATAATATCTTTAGAGCATAGTCAAGCAAGTTCTGTTCCGTTTCAATTCGTGCAGACAATCAATTTGCACTGGAGAGGTTACTCTCGTTCACCGCCAGATTTCATACGGTAAAACTATCAAATTTCATATTTAATATTATACCTTGTATAACGCATTAATTTAAGAAACATTGAAATAAATTAACTTTGTTTCCCAATGTATGTATGATTTTTCTTCCAGTTAGTTTCACAAAATATCGTCTTTATCTCGACAGAGAACGTTCAAATGTTTCTACTGAAAAACTTCCGAGTGCAAAGGGTTAATTGATTTACAAACGTCGATGCGAGTTGAATCTTTTTTTTTTAAATCTCCACTGTACATTACAATTTACACAGAATGGACATTTGGTAAATTGCTTTAGTAGTATTCGGGGATGTAGCACGTAGATGCTTTCTCAGCAGAATGCATCGATATAGTAACCGCCCCTTTTGTTATGGGGAGATCGTTCGAGTGTTTTCTGCGTAATCTTCTAGGAAGATCTTCTGAGTAACTTATTTGCTACGTCACTTGGGTGATTTTTTAATTTAGTTTTATGTCTGTCATATGGAAAATCTGTTTCTTATGTTGTAGCCAAAGCGGTTCCATAGGAATTTGAAGAACAGGAAGGATTAGTATTGAAGTAATTAACTGTTGCTAGTTTTAAGAAGTTATATTATGCTAACTGTAACTGTACGATTTATTTAAATGTGAAAATTATGTAAGTACTTATCGGATTATTAAAAATATATCATCATCGTAATTAAGTGTCATCGTTATCCCACTTTTTATCTTCGAGAATGAATTGTGAATTCTCATCAGAGTGCAAAGGGTTAACCTCTTGTTATACAATATACATGTGAGATTGGTAGTAAACATTTCAAATAGAATTTACCAAACATAAATATCGCTCGATTTCTTTGAATTCAAATAAAAAAATTGTTCTTCTATTATCAATTATTATATCGTAGAACAAACGTAGACAGAATATGCATAGAATTTTTCTCTTTCTTCAATAAACAATTACCGACAAAGTTGTTGTATCGATCACAGTTGAAAAATAAATCATAGAGCAAGTGGTTAATACACTCAAAAAGACACTTTAGTGACAGGATTGGTCGCAGGTAGAGTTGTTAGGGGCAAAGTGTTTAACGTGGACATTCTGTAAAATGGTATTGCGCAAAATGCCCGTAACGAGTTTCGGTCAATCTATAAAACGTCCCGTCATCATACAGAATGCTTATTATAGGATGGTGGTCAATGAACTGAAACGCTCTGATAAGTAAATTAAAAAATGTGTTTCTTATTGAGACAATATCGTATGATATTGATATCATGTGGGTCACCGGTGGCCCCCGCCCAAATTCGATTACTGCAATTTCCTTAAACGATGATTAATTAAAACCATTCCTATATTGTAAAGAACGCTACTTAATACGGTCACATTCAGCAAAACAAACCTGCGGTAATAACAACGCAGTGAAATTGAATGGTTTAATACTGTATTTTCTTCTTTTCGCATATTCTGCACCTTAACACGTTGAACGCCGCACGATTTCACAGAAGAAAATACATAGAATGGAGAAAATATAATATTAAATCATTTGATCGAATTGCATTATTACTATGCTACGTTCATCTAGCTGAATGTCACTGTATTATGTAGCATTATTTGTAATATAGAAATATTTTCATATAATCATCGTTTCATTGGATGAACTATAGTAATTCAATTTGGTCGGAGGGCACCGGTGACCCCCATGGCATTCAACGTGTTAATCATAAGGATCATTTATTGGAGCAAGACAAAGTATTGTGACACTCGGTATTACAGAGCTGACCGGTGCACTGTAACCAAGACCTAACCGTGGGCATTATATAAAATGTCCCAGCCATTTTACAAAATGTCCACGTTAAACACATTGCCCGTGAGAGACTTGACATAAATGCGTACAGCCGGCTGCGGATAGTAAGGGGTCCTCGTATCACATAGGCGTGATAGCGGCCGTTCGAGCGACGTGATTTCCATAGGGCAAGATCGAGCGTTTTCCTGTGTTCGAATGAGTGCGACAAGGACATAACTACCGAATGGTGGCGCCATCTAGCGGCCTGGAATTCGGAGAATTTTCCCCTATACCTATAATGTGTGAAACAAGGACAGAGTCACTGTGCGACAAGGACAGAGACAGCGTTCCCCGTGCCACCTACTTTAAAAAAGCATCTCATCAGTCCCTGGTACGTATGCGCGAAGCATAACTACCAAGGAGGTATCTGCCGGGAGATAGAGAAGGACGCATAATGGCCGACGCTAAGATCTGCGCGTTCGATGGAAAATTCATTAATAACACGACTCCCACGAATGAGTCATTAACATTTGCAATTGCAGGTCGTAGAATGGACCTTCACTTACTTTCGCATATCATTTTCGATAAGATTTTGTGTCGCGTTAATTATTTAGTAATTATTTTCTAACTGGATGTCCTGTGGGAATCTAGAGTTTTTTGATAAGTGCTGAGTCAATCATTAATTTTTATAGTTAATGGGCGTAATCGGTGAACTTTTGTAATCGAAGAGAATAGTACGGATCGCTAGTAATATTTCGATATTAGCTTCAGTCATGTCTGAGTTGTAATTAATGAGTTTTTAACAATTTTTTGATGGGTTGATTGGTTTCTGTAAAGGACGTAATGAGTGAGACAAGGAGAGGTGTATGGGTGCGAGAAGGATAGAGATAGTTGGTGATGGCGCCACCTTTTGCAGGCACGCTGAATTTTCTAGATAAATAGTATTAGATTCTCTTTGATAGATGGCGTAGTAACTAACTAGCTTTGTCCTTCTCGCACGTATATATCTTTCCTTGTTTTACACCTTGCATTTCCTATAGAACGCAATCAATTTATACGAAATTTGCTAATAACTCATTAATTACAGCTCAAATGTGACTAAAACTGATACCAATACGTTGTTAAAAGTCCAGTCTAATTTCCTCGGTTAAAGAAGTTCCCTGGTTGCGTCTATTAATTATGAAAATTAATTATACACTCAGCACCGGTCAAAGAGTTCTAGATTACTTTGGAACGTGGTCTCGGGAAATAATTAATTTCCATAGTTAAAAGACATAATTGGTGAACTTTTCTAACCGAAGAAATTAGACTGGGCCTCTAGGAACACTTCAGTATCAGTGTTAGTCAGATTTGAATTGTCGTTAATAAGTTATTAACGATTTTTGAATGGATCGTTGTGTTCTATAAGAAATGCAATGAGTAAGACAAGGTAAGATTCACGTGCGAGAAGGATAGAGATAATTGCTGTTTGCGCCAGTTAGTGGAGGCAACTTGGTACCATTTGGCTAGAAATTTCAGCGTTCTTGTAATAGGTGGCGCCACTAGTCCTGGCGAAGGAAAACAAGGATCTATATGTAAATACTTAAGGCTATGTTTCATTGTTTTTGATTCTTATTCCTGTCACTTATAGCGCTGTCATACAAAACCAGACTAAGTCGATATATCAGCCGTGACAAAATTTTATATTGATGTAGTGTCTATTTTATACGTTGTCTGTGATAATACTATGTAAATAATGTTACAGGGCTTGTTTATTGTGTTATTGTTTGTCTATGGTTCATTCTCTGATAATGATCTTGTGAAGTTGTTTTATTTATTGCACTGTTAAATAATTGTTTTAAGACATGGAAACTGTTCGACCTTGTGGTTGCAAAGGAATAAGATCGTGTCTTCTATGTGAAAAAGAATATGATATAGTAAAACCTGACTTGAAACTTCAGTTAGAGGTTAAAATTTATTAAATATTTGGGCACTATGTTTTTTATATTAAAAGAATAATATAAATTTTGATAACAAATTATTATAAAATGAGAAATAAAATTTAAGTCACTGTCAAAGTTTTATTATGAAGTAGGATTTTTTCTCCTGGCTCAATTAATTATGTTTTATATAATAAAAGTATATTCATATATGTCAAATTTGACAAGTATGAAAAGAATATTAAAATCATAGTCTTCGTGATATAGTCAGTATTTTCTATCTTAGAATTCTCTACTAAATTTGTCCAGTAGTATAATTATTCTCTTCACTTTGAATAGTGTGGATTATTATAAGTAAATTCGACTTTTTATTAACTATCAATTGTTATCTTTTTGCGTATTAAGATTCCTTGAAATATAATTTATTTTATACAACTTAATTTATACCTTTCATAAAAGTTTAGGAATTGTTGTTAATAATAATACACATTGTACTTTATTGTAGAAATCTTCTATTTATGCCTATTGCCCACATTGTGATCAAGCATATCCTGAATGGGATGCTAATCTTTATAAAAATCATCCAAATCATCATGGAAAACCTATAGAATTTCCTGGTGTATATATACAGGTATTTATGTAAAATTTAACAAGTTATTTATAAATACTTTTAATTATTACTTGCAATCAATTTTGCGTAATCATTTAAACGTGTTTCTTTGTCAAGAATTTCAAGTAGTTTAAATTATTCATCAATTACTACACAGTTAAATGAGGGATGAGATTTATTAATAAATACCTAAAAGTTTGAAACAACTGCTTGTCTGAGGCATGCTTATAAAAAAGCTTACTTTTAAATAATTATAAAATTTGTGATGATATACCAAATATTAAATTTGTTTTTTTTGTATATAGCTGAATTTTTTAAATTCCAATGAGATTGATGTACTGACAAAAGCAGTTGATGATATACCTTGGGAAGCTTCGCAAAGTGGAAGAAGAAAACAGGTATTTATAATGTTATAGCTAATGTGTACTTGCTTTAACATAATTTATTGGATCTTAAAACATTACAATGCTAGTAATTTACAATATTAAATTGACATTAAATAAAACAAAAATAATGTCATCACAATTTCATGAATTTAGAATTTTGGTCCAAAGTGCAATTTTAAGAAGAAAAAACTTCGTTTGGGTTCTTTCAATGGCTTTCCAAAATCTACACATTTTGTACAACAAAAGTTCTCAGAAGTGCCTATACTTAAAACTTTTCAAACAGTGGAGCAATGTACTTTAGAATATGATCCATTACGAGGAGCTTCAATAGATCCACATATTGATGATTGCTGGATTTGGGGTGAAAGAATAGTTACTGTGAATGTAATGGGTGACTCAGTTTTAACAATGACTCCGTACCTTGGACCAGATACAAAATACAATTTGAAAAGTATTGCTGAATATCCTACAACATTGTGTAATGATGCAAACTTTATTGAAACAAGTGAAAATAGTGTTGTTAATAACATAACTATCAGATTACCAATGCCAGAAGGGTCCCTTATGGTTCTTTATGGTGCTGCAAGGTAAAACAATTATTTATATGCTACAAATGATAAAAGTTCTAATGCTTTTTCGAACTTTTCAACTATTTTGTCATAAAGATAAATCTAAATAATTATAATAGGCATTTATTTTTAGATGATATTTTTCATTAAAATTGTTATTAGTTTAAATATTATAAAAGAACATTATTGAGAATTATTAAAATTTGTTTATTTTATTTTGCATATTTACATATAATATAAAGTTCCAACAATAAGTTAATGAAGGACTACTTTAGTATATACTCTTATAATTTGAAATAAACATATCTTGAATTATAAATATTAGTTGTCCCATAAGTTCATGCCGTTTATTTTTCTTCCATATAAAATATTTTATTAAATATAAAATTTTTATAACTTCACAACGTTTCACTCTTAAACTCTTTCTACTGACTAAACTGAAGTATAAAGATTTATTCATCCAAGTCCGCCTATCGCCTTGTGATTACAAAACATAACGTAAAAAGTTAACATATCGCGACACGAATTTACGGGACGACCCATAGCAAATACAGATAACAGTTTAATTCTATATAGAATTTACAAGAAGTAAATTACAAAAAATATAAAGTACAGGTAATTATTATGCTGGTATAACAAATACTAAATCTTGAGATTTTTTTATAGGTATAAATGGGAACATTGTGTCTTGAGAGAAGATGTAAACTCTAGGCGAATTTGTTTAGCTTATCGTGAGCTCACACCTCCTTATTTAAATAATTCATCAACAAATGAAGAAATTAAGACACTTTTACAAAGGGCATCAATATTTCAGTGAAACTAGAAAAAATGTTTTCTAATAAAGTATGTAATAATAAAATATTAAGATATTGAATTAAATATGTTGCATTGAATAATATTAAAAAATAGTCAATATTATTATATATATTGTCTACATCATAAAAGGTATAGCCATGAGGGTAGAAACTGAAAAAAATTGAATTAATGTAGAAGAAAACGAATTGTGGTTAAGAAAGGATAATTCGAAAAATATCGAAAATGTGAACAACAATTACATAGTTGATATACTAAGCCACAACATCCTTGAGAATACGGTAGGTAATTCAGAACACATTAATTAAACTAATTTAATTTATTTAATTTACATATAATTTTCCTAATATAGAAATGTAAAAATCACATAAATCACTGATTTAGGAAACGAAATGTAAAAATCCAAATTATAATTTAGTTTTTCACACAAAAAAATGTAGAAAATTTCGGCTTGTATTTTCTTAGTTAAGGTACATACATTGTATGAATAAAATTGAAAAAAACTGAAGAAACTAAGATAACATATTACTATGAAAATAAAAGTAATAATGTATGTATTTGAGTGAACTATAATACGAAATTTGTAATAGAGATTTATAACAAAAAAAATGGAAACAGTTACTTGCCTAACATGTACTTCAGTAGGTAGGTAAGGAAATATGTACAATAAGGTTAATTCTATTAAATATTTGATATATACATTAATAGAAAAAATAAAGAAAAATGGATAATTTTATTTTTCTGTTACTGCTCTCTTGGTAAGACAGAGAATTAAAAATTAGTAATAAACTTTTGATGGTAAACTATAGATTGGTCCCATGTACCACTTATGTCTCAATTCAAGGACATTTATTCCTTTACCTGGCTATACCTTTCTTACAATCGTATCAACGACTGAAACTTTTAAATAAAAAGTGAAGCATGAAATATTAAACGTAATTTCGTATGAAAAGTCAAAAATTTACCACTATTTACTTTTGAAAAATCTAAATAGATAGAATAATATTAATACTTGTAACGTTTAAATATACAATATAATATAACGTCTATAACAAATGATTAAACAAAAATATATTCAATTGAATATATACAAGGAAAATAAAGTAATTAGACGTTTTTTATAGGTTCAGGAGACATATAAACTACAGGGAAAGTAGTGAGAGGATCTGCCTTTCCTAATGGCTGATATCCATTAACCAAACTTTCTCTCAATTCCCACCTACGCCGTTCTCTTTCTGTTTTCTGTCTTCTAATTGCTTTGCCTAACATACAGGCAAACATTATTCCAGTAAACTGAAAAATAATAAAAGATTATTAATTTTCAAACTTGAACAAATGAAGAAATACATATAAAATTTTATGATAATCTTTGAAAAAAATTAATTTTGAACTTCTCCTTAAATCTTATTCTGTTATGGTCATTTTTTTAAAAAGACGGTAAAAATTATATGTATGAATTTGTATATTAACCTGAATGAGAGCAATGGCCACAGCTCCAGTACCAATGTATAAGACACTTTTGTTAATGAGACTTGAAAGATGTTTGACACATCCACTTGAGTAGACATTACATGCAATACCAGAATCGGGTCCACATTCGATGTCGTCACTAATTGACCAAGGTCGACAAGATTTCGGTAGACTTATTTGATTTTCTTTCATAATTTCCTCCCAATCATGATATCCATTGTACCCGCAACAGTATAGCTTTAATTGTAAAAAATATATAAGGATTATTATTTAATAACTGTATAGTACTTACACACCGTAAAAATATTAAAAAGTTTTATTCAGTCATGTAGATTTATATTAAAACATGTTTCAACTCATAGTCACTCTGTTTATATTGGAAAATACAAACTATTGATTATGATGAATTATTTTTATTTTTTAATAAATCCAAAAAATATTACCTTTGATTGTAAAAAGTCAATAGCATCTTCAGCTTCTTTATTCTTTCCATATTGGTGCATGGTAGCATTAATGTTATCAGCTAGAAGGTCCTTTATGTCATCCTGAAGAGCATAAGCTGCAATTGCAGCAGCTAACTCCATTATGAGAACAACGGAAAGAGATACTGCAAACTGTAAGTGTACTTATTATTATTATTATCATTATTATTATTGTTGTTTTTATTATCAGTACCATTATATCTAGGTTCTTAAATGTATAATGTATAAGATTTTATATTAAAACATTTTAATAAATAATTTAAGACAAAGAAAATTATGAAAAATTAATTCAAGTAACAGTATGTTTTTGAAATTAGTTTTTAAAAAATATTTTTACTATAGTTATATATTAACTATTATAATAAATTGAAGAACACTTACCACAAGAACCATGCAAGTACTTTCTCTAAGAGCACCACAGCATCCTAGAAAGGCTATTACAAAGATGAGGATTCCAACTACGATCAGAAGAGTTGCAGGTGAAAAGTATCTTGGATCAAGAAAATGTGAAAAGTCTTCATAAACTGCATAAATTGTAGTTCCAACGGATATTATCATCATCCCTGTTAACTGCAATATTAAAACGTTTATGAAAATAAATAAGATATTTATGTAACAAATGTAGAATAAAATATAAAAGAAATTAAATAAGTAAAAAGTTATAAATAAGTTTGAAAATTTTTAGATCTTATTCAATGATATATAAAGAAGCCTGTCAAAATCGATCATTTGAAAATGATATTCGTCATTCTACTAAAATATCTATAATAGAAAGACAGTGGTGCTTTGTCACTAGTATTAAAAAGATTAGAAATTCTTATCTAAATTGATAAATCGAACCATTCGCAATACGATTTTCTCTTCCGAAGACTTGATTCGATGAAAATTTTACAATAAATTTTACGATTCACATTATAGAAATCCATTATTTATTAACACAGAATTATTTTCTATTTTGAAAATAAAACCCAACAACTGAAGCCATACAAACATGTTTTTTAACGTTTATTTAAATGTATTTAAATTTCAGATGAATTGCAAAATATCAATGCTATATGCAATTTGAGGCGATAAAAATATATGCTTTATCTGTACATTAAAGTAAGTTTTCCTATAATTAAAATTTGGGTATAAACATTTTATGTTTATGTTTATACCTAATCCAGGGGATTGTGCATAAACTCCGCTGTATCATACTGCCCGTAACATATTATATAGGTAATTCATAGATGGCTTTTTTGACAATCGTATGCAGATAGAAAACAATGGACATGCAGATAAAGGACGAGTGAAGAAGTGGAAGACATCGATGAGTTGCGGCGTTGCAAACCGTAATAATCTGCACGGTAATAATTCATCGGGGTCGACCTCGCCCAGCCGATATCGATCCTGCTGACCGTCCGAACAATACCGTAGAGCTATGATCCACGTCCATATCGAGGGTTGACCTAACTTGTTGAATCTCAGGGCCGAGTATGGTTATTCTCGTTACCTATCCTCTTCGGCCAGCAGGAAAAATCGACGTTGCTGCGGTTATCGTCACCGTCGGCCTCGACCGCATTTATTGTTCTCCTTTTCTCCTCTGCTATTTGAATGATATAATATATGCAGACATAGTATTTAAGATGCCACTAAAGAAGAACAATTTTACTACGTCACAGAAAATAATTTCATTGTTGTTTAATCCCTTAACTGCGATAGTCGCTATATATTGTATTCGCAAAAATTTCTATGTATTTGTTTATTACTTCCTTTTTTTATTATGTTTATTAAATATAAACATTCTTTTTTGTTAGGAAACTAATTATGTTGTACAAAAACACAATAAACTTAAGGGAAGAAAAGAGTTGAATTAAAGTGCGTTAAATTGTAAAATATTTCGGAGAAAAGCTCCGCGTTGCAGTGTTGACTCGCGCGAAAAAATTCTGTGGTTAAGGGGTGTAAACGTAAATATTGTTATTCGAAGTTAGAACTTAAAGATAAAGAATTCAAAGTTAAATCGGTATTTGTACAAGATTCAGTATATCGATAGAAACAATTGAAAGTATAGGTATTTAATTAAGAATTTAAATATGATCCGGTCACTTCACCTGGAATTCCCCAGAAGAACGAAAAGGACAAACTACAGAAACTGTTCTTATTATGAAGTATTTTATTTAAGAGTAGTTTAATTGAAGGATAAAGGTTTTGAATAGTTTACTTTGTGAGTTTTTTCAAGGATACTGGAAAATACGTATGAATACATTTAATTTCCATTTAATATTAACCCCTTGCCTTATAACATCATTTCAAATTTTCGGTGAACTGAACTGAAATGAAATTATTATATTTTAAAGCTAACGTGTACACAGAATATACCTAGAATTCTTCTCTTTCTTCCAGTAAATTATTAATGACAAAGTAGCCGTATCGATCATAGTTGAGAAAGAAATCATAGGGCAAGGGGTTAAAGCCCAACGGTGCACGCTTCTTTGTCTCCATATGTTTCTCATCATTTTCTTCGTCCAACTTTATGTTGTTCAATTGTTATCTATTCAAACAATATAAATTAACACTAGAACTACCGAGCAGTCAATTTGACTTTTGGAAATTTCTTCGTAGACACTCCAAGAGTAGATCTATTGATAAGTAAGTACTTCAATTGATCTACAATTCAGTTTACGTATTGATAAATCAATTTCTCAAGTAGTTAAGTAGTTTCACAAAAAAGCATCTGTTATCTTTTTAATAATTGCAAAAAGAAGAGATTAAGAATAGGTCATTTCGATCCGTCTGGCAGTTCTAGTGTTAAACTAAAATCATCTCTACCTGTCCGAAAAGAAACAAATTCGTTCCCGAAGGTGTTATTTAGTTGTATGTATATTTTCTTCTTCTCTATTGTAAACTATGGTACTCAAATAAAATGAGTGACAGTTAATCGCTAAACGATCTAGCGGTTAAAAGCATTAGGCAAAGATTCTGTATGGCTAGCTCTCTCTTACACAGAAATGATAAATTATTGGGAAAACAATTACTCAGATATATATTCATAATGTAGGTACGAACTTTGTTATGTGTTTATAAACTAAGGTGCAATAACTGATCATAACGAGTATTATGTAACTGCTTCAATGCTATTGGTCGATATTTTGAACGTAAACAAATGAGGCCGATACAATTACCCGCAGCAGTTTCCGCGTAAACATTCGGAGCCGATAAATTGGTCCATTGGTATCAAAGGGATTAATAAAAATCTTGTTTTTCCATATTTTGTTCTCCCTTTTGCTTTCTTCCCTCAATTGTACCGTTTAGAATGTATTCATTGAAAGAAAAGGGGTTTTGTGGGCTGCATATCAATTAATAGTATATTTAACTTATATTTATAGTGGTGTTAATGAGTCTTTTAGTCGCAATCTTATAAAGACTGTAAACTTATGATTTTTTGTTGATCCATATTTCGTGGATTAGAGTCTAGAGCACTCTAGAGTCTCACTATCCCGGCCATCTTCGCTTACTCTAGATCTCAGGATATTATCGTTGCGAGTGAACAATTACGCCCCATTGTCTTCTATTGTTTTGTTTCCGTAAATTCCGAAATAAGATGTTTGTAAAAACAAAATCTCAGTGTTTTTACATTTTGTGAATCAATTTTGTTCACTTTAATCGATTCTACGATTATTCGTAGAAGTTTCTTGCGTTATTCGTCTTCTTTTTGCGTCAGTTTTTAATTACTTTGTTTTATGGCTGTACGCCTACATGTTAAACCGGAATGACTAGGTAATGCAATTAAGCGGTTAAACGATAAAACGATAAGCTGAAGCACAGAATGCATTCAGACGTAAAGATAATTTTATACGGTGTGCTAAAATAAGAACCGTTTAAAATGTCGTGTGATGACATGATCTTTACAAGAAATGTTTCCATTATGTAATGAGATTAACTTGAAATTTATCATTAAATGAATATATACATTATTCAAATCACGTACTTTTTTAACACCTTTGTTTTATGTTTCCAGCGCGAATGACAAACGATAATTGAAAGATTTATTTACTGTATTGTAATAATCTACTATATTTTTAAAAATTCTACTATAGAAATTCTACTATATTCTACTATAGTTTTAAAAATTCTAATTTTTGATTGAAAAATTTCATTTACTATTATTTGAATTATGAAAATGCTTTTATGAAGAATTATAAAATAAATTCCTGATTTTGTATGAATACAACAATAAGAGACACTTCGAGTGTCAAGAAATGTACTCTTATAATTTTTATATCCAATTTATAAGCAAATATAAATAAGTCACTCTAACTATTCAATAGTTTTATAATATTAACACTAGATTTACCGCCAGACATCAAGGCAGATCCCAACAATAGATACGTAAATATTCCCATAGTTGCATCGATCAGAATTGTCTAAAACCTTCGTCAGAACCTTTACTAGTAACGACCACAAAATCGAGTATTCGTCAAATTAACAGGTTCCGTAAATCTATTATTTACATACATGAATTCATTTCCATTTATAACAATGTAATCATAAGTACAAGTATGTCTACGTAATGGTATAACCACGTATGCGTTCCTGTACAGGACATCCATTTATCGCTCGGTAAATAGGCGCGTTTATCTGCCTCTTATCTGTACATTTATCCGTTGAAATGAGATGTTTCACGAATCTTGTAAATACGTTGCGAGGTCTACTTGTATGAGCATCGTTGTATATACCTGTGACGAGTCATTGTACTCGAACAACAATCGCTCGGCCGTATGTTTGTATTGCTCGACCTCGAGTCACATCTACGATCACGTAAAATTGAAGGAACGTCGTAAAAGTATATACTGTATATGATATATGTATATACTACATACTATAAGTGCTATATATACATTACAGTACTATATATATACAGCGGAAACAAATAAACCAACTGATTACGAGTAACGGAAGTGACAAATGCAGCGTTGCTCGACCAGAAGTTCCAAGCAAACCATAATTTCTCATAAATATGGATCTATCCCGAAGAAATAATAACGAAAAAAGAGAAGCATAAATAATCAATTATTACAACCAGCGACTTCTTAATGCAATGCATGAAACAGGTTTAAGAGGAAGATTTGAAAGCAGTTTTTTCGAAAGAATGACTAACTGATATTACGAGCAACCTACTTATTACGGCTTCGTAAACAGCAATTAACGCAGTCGTATATAAAAATACACGTTTCTTCTTCAGGCATTTCGGAGAACCGAATGCCAAATCGAATAGTGTGCATAGTCGATTGAGAATATTGAACTTTGGTTATTAGTCACACGTAGGTAGCGTTATCTTGATACGAGTATCGATCGACGAGACTGCTCACGGCGTAATTTCAACGGAAGGATTTCACGATCTATCGTGTCAGGGAATTTCATAAATTCACACCGACGCGAGTGCCCTGGAAAAGAATTCGTTCGCGATCAGATTCGTAAGGAATTACGATTGATTGAACGTGTATTGTAACGAACCGCGACCGAAGTACGGTGAATGTAAACGTTCGCTGATGAATTCGAATGTTTGAAGGAAAAAATGGCGTATGTAAAAAATGAAGCGCGTAGTCGTGGAAGCATGGAAGTAAAAGAAACGAAAGAAATATTAAGATACACGGCTACAGACCACAAAAAGGGAGTTAACTGCGCATAGCAGATACTTGATGCAACGTAGGCCAACATCGAGGTGCGTGGCAGCCATTTTGGTGCACGTTCGTTCGGAATCCTCTTGCACGCAGGTGCACTACAGAACCACACTGCTCCTTCTCTCTCACGCGCCGCGAGGAAGAACCGACTGAACGTGGAAAACACCTAAACTCCGATTCGATATATCGCATTATCTACTGATAAAGACGCACACATACCGACGACACACGTAACGTAGCTGAGTTATGTATTTTTACGAAATTCTTTTTCCTATTTCTACTGTCTTTTCCTCGATAACCAACGGTATTTCAGCGGCACAACGAATGACAATTGAAACCATGAATTCCAAAACAGCACAAGTCCAGTAATTAATAGTAACTAATATTCCGAGAAAATTAATCTTTTTTTTTATATCTTTGTATAATGTGTATCTTGATTATTTTTGCTGTGAATGTTGAGAACACATATGCTTTCATTATGTACATATTTATAATAATATTAGATAACTGGCTATTGCGTGAAAAGTCTTGTAAAACTGTGGACTTGTATTGTTTTAGAAATAATTGGAGAATGTATTATATTATTGACCAATTTAGTATAAATTTTGATTGAAATGGACAAATTACAGTTTATAAATATTAGTGTTTATTCGCTATCTCACTCATCATTTTTAGCTTTCTAAATAGGTTTCTATTTTTATAATAAATGCTTAAAATATGATGATTCAGGTTCATACATTTTTATAGAATTGTTAATACGAAAATTAGAGGATATGATACTATACATTATATTGTATTATACAGACACATATTGTTTATTTCGAGATACTTATCAGAAAAATATCTTATCTAATCATTTCATTGTTGAGGATATCTCATCGACGTTCTTAGAATATTGTAATTCTTAATAAATTTGATTATTATCAAATTAATGAAGGATCATCAAACAGTAAAATCGATCTCTAGAAACCGAAAGTATCAAATTTGATATTAAAAATGTGTTCATGTCATTGAATTTCATTAAAGCATTCCAAACAAAAAAGACTTGTTCTGTTATGCTTCGCTTAAATACAAGCGCAATTTTTTAATTTATGTATTGCCCGAATGTAAAACAAAACAAATAGAACCGCACCTTTAACGTGCTACGAGATTATTCTTGTTTGAGGAAATCATTTTTTAATAACTTCTATTTTCTATTATATATATATAAGAATTAATTCTTTCATTATTCAGATATGACGACAGCTAAATAAAACGAATTATATTCCATTAAATATTTTATAACTTTGTTAACAAGTTAACAAGTTTGTTAGAATTCTGAATTTCTAACTTTATTGCTTTCAAATTTAATCGTAAAATTAGAAATCCAGAATTTCAGTAAACTCGTTAACGTATTAATCAAGTTATGAAACATTTAGTTAAAATAAATATTGTTAAAATATTAAATAAATTACGATTAGATTTAAAAACAATAACTTAAACAACGGCGAAAAACGATCTCTACAAACGGGAATATCCCTTTAATATACCAAATACAGAATGTTATTGAAACATTTATTTCTCAACGGACATCATCTTACTACCACTCGGGGCCTCGAAATAGTCGGCACTGGCAAATCGACCGGTTGCTACATCCATGCGTGAAAAACATACAGAATATGACTCACGTGTATCATCGTGTGGGTAATTCAGCACACGTTTATTATTCATAGGTAAGTATGAATTACGGGTAAGTATTACAAACCGCGGTAAACTGTATTACAAATTAAGAATTTTCTCCCACTACAATGTTGTCGTTCACATGAGACAATAGTTTGCATGCAGAGTACAAAGTTCCCTCAATTCGATGTGTTTTACTGGTTTTATGTAGAAGTCTTGTTGCATTACCTTTAGTCGGATCGAAACGGCTGACAAAAATGGGCAAATGTTCGATCATTTCACACAACGAGCGAAGACTGCGATCAGGATGAGGAGTATCTTTAATGAAAATTACTACAAAATATGTGTACTAGCTGATAGTTAAAAATTTTGTTCTGTAACACGTACAGACTTCTGTAAAATTTGAATGAAAATGATAAATGCTGATAGATATATTAATCTTGTAAATAAGAAACGCTTTAGTAATAATGTACATCAATAAAATATTATCTTACTTTTACACGTTTGCTTAAGAGTTTAATTATGAAAATGTTGAAATCCATCAAAAAAACTTCATATATGTTAGAATAGCTTTTCTAAAGACGAACGACAAAATATTGCTGAATAGGAAATGAGAAAAATGACAATGGCATAACTATGGTAATGTAATATTTTATACATTTTTCAAAGAGTATAATTTTTCTTACAAAACGTCACAAATAGATTTTACATTATTTATTCAATTGAGACTCTCCTGAACGAAAACTCTTTGTCAGCTTCTCTTTCCAACGGAAAAAAAACATGGGTCCTTTATATTTTATTTTAGGAAAACTGATGATTTCAACGTTACATACATTTTAACGTATTCTATGGATTAAAAGATCCACGTTTCGTATATCTGTTGTTTAGTGATATAAAACCTATTACTCCTGATGTATAATATTTTGTAACTGTACACGATTTGGGACAATTACTTTTCAAATTTTAGGAGCGACGCCATTCCACTTATTTATGCTTGATGTGTGGATGATCTTCAAGTTCATTAAAAATCTTACACGGTTTCGTAACTATTTTTAATCGATCGTGCCAAGTAACTCGAAAACCAGATTCCGATTGCCTGAAAAAGAATTCATAATAATATCGAATTAATAATAGTGATAGCAAAGTTTTCTTTTTTAAATTAAATGTGATACATATACAGTAGGGCCCCCTATAACGCGATTAAAAAATCGTCGAGAAATAACTACGAAAGTGAAATTTTCCATAAGAATAATATTTTAATCGTGATATAGGGGGAGGGGAGTTCTACTGTAATTCGAATACAAATCATTAAAAAAACATTAAAAATAAAAATAAATGAGAATTTCTATTTGGAAACATCAATGTTTTATTTGAAGAGGTAGTGTCCCTTTGAATAGATGAACGAATTACCTGAACAATAGCAATACCAATACCAATGCCACCGAGTTGTAGAGCATGAGACGCGATTAAAGACAGGAGACTCTGGTAACAGCCATTGTGGTGTAGAGTCGGTGATGTAAGGGTACAATTTGTCGTATCCGTATGCTTCCCCTCTTCAGGTAAGCAGCACGAAGGAGGAAGAGGACTGATAATGTCTTTCCAGTCAAACGGACTATCGGTTCCGCAACAGTTGAACTAAACAAATTTATATAATTTATATATATTTTTTAATATTATATATATATTATTATTATATATAATATTTAATATAATACAATATAATATAAATATAATATAATATATAATATAATATAGGAGGGATAGATATTGGGAGAAAGAGAAGAACAACATTTGCAGAATTTATGAGAAAAAGAACAACTGAACACTTAAGAGAAGAAAAGAAATAACAAAAACGGAAGAGCTTAATATTTTTTTCTTCTCTAAGTCAATTTTACGCCAAAAGGCATTTCCGTAAGAATGCTTAGAATTACTTTATAACTTGATTTATTTATACTTTATTACTGTGTCTTCGTTCAACATTTGTAATGAAAAAAGAATAAAATTGATTATTCTCTTCACTCAAAACCATAAACTTGAAAATCTAACACTATTCTTTCATATCCTTTAAACTCGAATTTGAACAGTTCTATTTCTTCAATTAATAATTCAACAAGAAAATTCCCTGCACCAAAAAATACGCGTTCCGCGCTAATTAATTTCCATTAAACGTTGCTTTTTATTTCTAACAGGTGCTTTAAGAGATATGAGTTTATTACCTTCAAGCGCGGAGGTACTATGTAATTATATTACGTTGGAGAAAGGTTACTGAAAGTAAAGGTGACTAGTTGAACGGTCAAAGCGACCGATAATGTCGAAACATTATATTGTAATGTATGTAAGATGTTCCATAATAAAACAAACAAGCTTCATCTAAATAAATTGATAGAGTGGAAATTCTTCGTCAAAATTTCGTATTCTAAATATAAATTCACTAAAAGTCTACTTCTTATTTTAATGAAAACGATACATACCTTAGAATTATAACGCTTTCATAATTCCAAAATAAGTAAGGTATAAATTAATATTGAACTGAGAATAGCATCGTGAACTAAAACCATGGTCAAATAAAAATGTTTAAAATGCAAGCCAACGATTTTCGTTTGTTATTGCACGTTAAATTCGTATCAGTAATCTAAATGACCCACGTTCATGGTTCGCAGTACGGCTGAAACATCTGTCGTTCAGGGGTTTATGGATAGGCCGTGTGTATCTTGGTTGATAATTACCCAGATGGTAAAAATCAATAGTGAAATAATTAGGGTTGTACTACCTGTGTGACATGTCGCGAGGGAAGTGATTCGAAGGTCTGCTAGAAAGCAACTACAATATTAAATATATCCTTTATAAAAAACAAAAAAAAAATTCTTCATTCATACTTTTTAACTCAAGTGCAATCTTAAAACAGATTTTTGCTGTGATTTTTTTAACGGGTGCATGAAGGTTAATTTTCATTAGAAAGTAAAATGTCCGTTTTCATCAGAAAGCAGTAAATAAAAAAGCGAAATATATTACTTTGCGTTGCATCTCGTCCCAAACTTCCGATACTTCTGTATTATTGGGGTACGCGACCATCATATCATTCATTCTGTGTTTAATAATCGTCGATGCCCTGGCTCTCAAAACGTATCCAGAAATACCACCTGCGAGCTCCAAAATGAAAACAAGGACCAGCAAAGAGGTAAACTATAAACAAAAAAAACAAACAAAATATACAAACAAACCGTGCAATTACAATTCGTTTTGTAATAAATAAATTCATCTGTTCAATAAGTAAATGTTGGTGATAACTTTATGTTAAAAATACATAAAGGATTGAAAACCTGAAAAATAAAAATGTATATTATAAAATAATAAAAGAAGGATTCAACTTCACATGCGTCTGATAATCTATTAGTTACTCGATCATAAATATATTTTTACAATTACTTAGTTTTCTATGCACAATATACAAAACATTGTTGTTCACTCATTTCTTATTTCTAAGTTGCAAGAGGGAGGTTTAAAAATTCTTGTTTACTTTCTATTACTAAGGTGAAAGTACTTTTATTTTTTTTACTGTCGAAGAGAAGACGATCCGATTTGCCTCACCTGTACGGTTTTACCTGCCCTCGCGCGATAAAATAAGGAAAAAGTAAAGGTTTCGTTTTATTATTTTCGTTTTATTATTTAGTTTAACATGTTCGCTGCGAGCGCCACATGTTTGTTCCCACATTTTCTCCCGTATTCTACTTAAATCCCACATTTTACTTAAAGAAAATGAAATTAATCCCATAGACATTGTTATTCAAAGTTATAAGATACAGCGTTATATTTAGGAACTCAATGATTTGTTTTAGTTTAGAAGATTTGATACATTACCGTGATTATCATGCAATAGTTTTCACGGACGGCGCCGCAACATCCGAAAAAGGCGATGAAGAAAATAATTGCCCCAATCGCGATGAGGAACGATGGCACTGATAGGAACTTATTGTCCAGAAACTGTTGGTAGCCTTGGTAAACTCCGCGAATTACCACGCCACTGGACAATAAAATTACCCCCGTTATCTGAAATCAAAAATATTCACTTTCACAATTTCAAATAAATAAATTTCGGCTTCTGTGATCAGATCCGATTCTTTAACGAATTCGTATTCTGGTCCGAGATATTCAGGTCTGCAGTAAGTAATCAATCGTTATTTTTGAAACCAGAACACACGAAGCGCGCGTATTAGTCGAAAGTTTATAGCAATAAATTAATTTTTAAGTCTTTAATTCTACTGTTACTTCGTTGATACATGGAAACAGCGCTTTATCTGTATCATCTTAAAAATAGCAGCTTCCAGGTATGTATTCGTACCATAAATTATGCCAGAAAATTTTAAAAATGTGATTTTCTGCTGTAATATGCGTACGACATTGCAATTTTTTGCCATAATTATGCAACAGGTATTTAAACAACACAACGGGAACAATTTCGAGACTTAACCCTCTGAACTGAAATGACTAATCTCATTCACACGTGTTCTCAGTGCGAAACTGGATGTCGTGAATTATTTGACAAATACGGTATATTATAATAACATCAACTGTTGTTTTACAACTATTCACAAGAACAATTGCCGTTATAATAATTACATTTTGACCTTTCACTTTCACGATTACCGCCAGAAAGCTATGGGTGGTTCTAATGTTTTGATCAGGAATTATACATATGTGCCTGTAATTATGAAAGTGGTCTAAGTCAAAAATTGAAAAAAAAAATGAGTTCATCAATTATTTCATATCACATTATTTTAAACTAAATTAAAACAAAAAAAAATGTATGACTTAGACCACTTTCATAATTATGGACATATATATTTTTTCATAATATTAAAAGAAATGAATCTTTTCAAATGTAGAAACGACAAGTATAGATTATGACTTGTCAGTCTGAAAAATATCTCGCAGCTAAAATCATCCAGCATGTTTTCCTGGTATCCCTCAAGAGGAATCCCTGAAAACAACCGCCGAATTCCAAATACAGAAAGGCTACACGGTGTTCCTTTAGCAGCAAGCATTATGCAGTGTTCAAATTCAAGAGCCGAAATGAAAAGTGAAAAAATAATGAAGATGAAGTAAACAACAGCGGAACAGCGATAAAGTGAAAAAATGGTGGAAGTTATCGCGAACTGCAAAAATATTGACTGAATTATCACAACTGCCCCATATGCATATAATAAAACGTTATCAGACGAAAAATAGAATACTAATTAAATCAAAAACAGGATTAAATAACAAGTTAAACGTTCATGATGAAAGGCGCATGAACAAAAATGAAAAACCACTGAAAGTTTAACGCCTCTAAACTAACAAGTGAGATAGAAAAACATTCATGATAAATTATTAATTCTGAAACAGTGAGAACAGTATTACGGAATTATAATTTTCGTTTAAATGCATCATACCATGACAAGACACTTATCAACGACAGAAATGCAGGAAGAAGATTGGACGTTGCAAGAGAATATTTCGATAAAAATTTTAATTCCTGGAAACAAGTTACTTTCCCGTAGATGATAAAATTGTATAATGTAATATTGATAAAATTAAGACTTTTAAGTAGAAAATTTGAATCTCATCCTTGATCATGAAAACAGATCTATAATAGGTTAAAGAAACGTCGAGTTTATTAAAGACAACGTTGATTATTTAAACATTTTCATACAAAATTTAGACGATATTACCGAAACGTAAAAAGTTTGGGAATGCTTCAAATTTTATGGCGATATGCACTTGCCTCAAAACGATTAACACGATTCTTCAATCAACTAATAATATTATAGAAGACATTTGGAAGAAATAAGATATTAAAATTACACAATCATACATAAACGCGATTTCAAAGTACTCTGAATAGAAAAATAGTCTAAAATTGAATCCTTTACATTACAGAAAAGTTTAAAAAAAATTGTAAACAAAATCAGAACGGACAGGAAAATATGATTGAAAATACCCAGCAAAATAATTATTTTTAATTCAAACGAACTAAGACAATTTTTTACTCTTGTATGATTTTTTATAAGGTCCTACTGCAAAATCTTTTTTAGTAATGCTCGGTTCTTTCAATTCGACCTTTCAAAGTAAATTACTTTACTCGTGTTATTTCTGAAAGAAAAATGAGGAAGTAGTTAAAGTGATTCGTTATTTCACACTGTCATTTTTTCTTTGTTTCAAATAGGATTTGCTTGAATCAACTTTAGAGCGACGTATTGATGCACCTGCGTTTGTAAATTTTATTCCATTTTCTCGCAGCAAATGCATCACATGTTATGATAGTATTATTCGCATCTTCGTAATTAAGAAGTTTATTTACGATCTCTTATAGTTTCTTTTACGCTAAAAACTACATTATTCAAATCTATATTTAAATGACAAATAGCGATTATATTGTATGAATATTATCGTTCTTCTTTGTTTCATTCTTTCAATGGAGAAGAAAAAGTTCACGAGCCTAATAATTACAAAGGTTGAAATAACAATTGTCAGATAATAATTGTTTTTTTCGTCAACTTTAAATAAATATTTTGCTGCTATTTTCGCATAAAGCAGTGTTCCAATTTTCGCGTCATAACAAGTCATTACAATAACATCTGGACTTCGGGTTTTTCTTTATATCCCTTCTTTAATAATAAATCGTGGAATATAGAAACTAATCCACTGACTTTGGAACAACGAAAATAAGAATCGCGATTATCGATTCGATAATTGTACTCCTTAATTTCCGACATACCAAGAATGACATATATGTTACTTCGTTCAAATCAAATTGCAAGATAAATTATCATTATTATTAGATTGTAGATTTTCTGAATTTATAATACATATAAATTACGAGATTAATAATATTTTTATTTCATTAACTTAAAAATTCTATAACTGGGAAAATATTTTTTCTATTGTACTACCACCAACATGAAAGAATTATTATTATGCATATTTGCAATTGAAATATAATATGTGCATATAAAAATAGGAGGAAAAGTTACATAAAACATTTGTGTAGAAAATACAGATTTTCAAAGTCGAATTTTTATGTTCACAACTACCAAAATTGAACACTGATTTTATATTTGTTTTAACCGTAAGGGATTGCTTTTTTCAAAATACTTTTCATTGTAATAGTCATTGGAACAATATGAAGATACAATAAATATTTTTATCTCGTACGTTTGACTCAAAAAATAAATAAATAAAACAAATGTGTAATAGATAAAATTATACAACTATACTAGCATTCTTGCGTAGTCTGTACCACTTTTTGTCATAAGACTTTTATTTCTATCCAGAGATTGAAAATCGTTATGACATCGGTTTCGGTTCATAAAGTAGTTATGAAGAATCGAAATGAAAAACCGAAAAATAAAAATTATAGAACCGTTTCAAAACCGATATAACAGTTTCAAACAGTTATTTTCGGAACTTTTCCATTCCCTGTTTTTACCATCAATTTCCTTTTTTTCAAATTTCATTAAAACGCCATTTATGGAAGTCTAAATATTAAAAATAATTTTATAAATGTTACCAAATAATTACGAAAGTATATTCAAAACATAACTTAGGACAAAATTCTACATTGTGTGCGGCTCCAATTATGACAGTTTAGTGAATTAAAGGCGATTCCACTTTATTTCTAGTAAATACAAAATTTAAAGTAAGAAATACTAATTTCTTACTTTAGATCGTTGTTCCCAATCGAGTTTACATAGCAAATTGGATCTATCGGAAATGAGATTAAAAGTTCTCGAAATTCAATTACTGTCGGCGAGAATGGGGCTAAAACGGAGGTTACATATCTACGGGAAACTAAATAAAACTGTGTTCTAGAAATTGTGTGAAAAATACAATTTTTTATTATAAAGTTTATAAGATAATAGTAAGTTTGCAGCATAATAAGAATAAGAGAAAAATATAATTCCGTTTCCACTATTAATGGTTTCATTCCAGTATTATTTACTTTCTTGCATTTAATACAAGATAAAAAATAGAAAATATACTAATTACACAAATGTTTAACAAATTAGGTTGGATTAAAAAAATAATATAATTTTTCCTCTTTCTATTTATTCCTGTGTAATATTCTTTCAACTTTCATTTGTGATATATATTTTATTTTTTCTATCTCAAAGTATATTCAATTTTGTTATTAACAATTTATCCTGTGACATCTATTTCACATTTAATAATATGAAAAAGAGCTTAAATGAAGAATTTGTAACTTAAATGTAAAAATCATGACATTGCTTACCTCTTAGCAAACTTTTCTACATTATTACAAATATTGTTCGAGAATTCTATAAACATTTACACGTGTAAAAAGAACTTAATTAAATGTTACAATTTTTCAAATTTAAAATATTGTATTCACCGAAATGAAAAATAGTTGTTAATACTTAACAGTGAATATTGATATAGCAATGTACGAAAGTGCATATACGCATAAATAAATAGTCAAACGGGTCATGAATTAAATATCACTAAAAATGCGCACCAAATTTCAACAGCTGCGGTGTCCGAGCGGTTAAGGAGATGGATTTGAAATCCATTGGGTGTTCTACCCGCGCAGGTTCGAATCCTGTCCGCAGCGAATTAATTTTTTTAACGTCAAAAGTTCAATCTGTTTTATTCCACAATTCATCCACTGATACACATAGAATATCATTGTAAGTTTTCACCTTTTTTTTATTAAACATTGAACGTACAACATACTTTAATATAAAGAAAATCAATTAATAATTATTTCTCAAATTTCAGTGTACTTCCACAACTTATAATATTCCTTTGTTCAGAATTCTCAATAACATAGAAAAAAGGATCCAGAGAAACACCTCAAATAAAGATGTAAACGCGACATCTATTTAATTTGTAATATTTTGTTCCATGAACTATAAGATAGCATGACGTTAAAGTGCATTTAAGATTGCTTCATTAAAATGAACGCAATAAACACTTGCAAGAAGACAAAATTGATACCACGTGTACATTGTGTTTTTCCGTGATATAAAATAATATGTAATTAGGAAAGGTTGTTAAAAATAATCTGTTAACGATTCTCATATTATATCAATTACTCGTGTGTATACATATATACGATATGTCTGCGGTGTATTTATGTCAGACATCTTTCCGTAACTTAAGAGGAAAACAAGATGTAAATGCGTACGCATGCATATAACGTGTATCGATATATCGGATGAAGTATGACGCATCGCATGATCTACGGTCGCAAATGGATCATTTTACCAGATCAAACATCTGTCAGTGGTTAAATTTATATTTGTATCTATATTTTCATTAATCTCAAGTATAAATCGTTCTGGCAGTAACAATAAAACTATATTAAAATATTCGTATCGATATTTAGGTTATACTGAGGTTAGTAAAACGTTCAGTTTACGAAACTTCCAACTACTGAACTCAACGAAGTATCGTTAAATTAGTTCGAAACTTATCAATTGCGACAAGTTATGAAAGCATGTAAAACGCAAATCAAGTTAGTATATGTTCCTTTAAAAACAATTTAAATAGAATTAATAGAAATTTTAGATAAAACATACTGAGCTACTCAAAGATAATTCCCAAATTATCATAGAAACGTGATTGTTCTTCTAAATACATAAATACACAATTAAAAATGGTTAAATAATAAATTTAAAAAAAATTGTTTTCTCGCGCATTAAAGGTACAATGAAACGAAAACATTCCTGGCATATGTATTTATACTCCCTAAATCTGTATACACGAATATACGCATACCTTTAAAAAATCAATACAAATACGCACACTATGTAAAAAAAAATAAAAATTACTTACAACGAAGAGTAGATTGAACACGAAGAGCAAATATTTGACACATTGCGAACCAAGAGGCAATCTCATTGAACGAACCATTTTTATTAACAATTAAATAAGATACTATTTATTGCTGTCGTAAAAAATCAGTACAAAGATAAAAATTTGTGGAGCTTTTTCGCGCTTTTTTCCAACGTTAACGGAAAACGCATAGACCGGCCGAGAACATTTCAACAACGATTCACTGCTTTCAGACAGTTATCGCGTGGCTGCGTGTCCATGCGCATGCGCGGCAGTAAACTCTCAACCAAGGTTACGAAACTTCAAAGATTACCAACTGTAAATTTGTTTTCGCCTTTTTATATTTTTAAATATTTTATTCTAATTTATAATAATTATTTTCACAGAGATTTTACTATAGAAAAAATTTGTACACATTATGTAATCTTACATGTTATCAATACTGTTGATTGCATATAACACTGAAGAATAAAAAAATTTAACTGTTGGATAAATAAAAATTTGTACAGTAAATGTGAACATTAAACGAAATTAAATAAAATACACCTTGACATATATAGTATTTATCGTCATCTGCAAAGACGATTATTAAGATACTTGTGAATCTATATGGTATTATTTTTAATTTATTATTAAATGTAATGCTATAAAATTTAAGCATATATTTATATATGAACTATCAGATTTAAGAAAGTGACAGCTTTCTAGACGATTTCAAAGGTAGATGTGTATATAATTATACTTCTAATATTTTCGGATTACGTATGTTTGAATTTATTTATACTCATTTTCAATTTACTCATTTTGATAAAATTCTAATAAATATTGAAATGTAAAGCAGTTTTTCTGCATAACTCAAGATTTTAATTGCACTGAATTATATTATAAAATTACTAATTACTAATTGTAATTGTATTGCTTATTTTGTTTATTAAAGAAAATTGTTCTATTTGAGATTTTATTCGAGTATAAATCTTCATCTACATATTCCAATAGTTAATGATTAAAGTAAAATTACAATAAATACATTTATATATAAATAAAGTAAAGGATTGTACAATATTAAAGGAATCTGCGTAGAATTCAGTTAAAAATATATGTCGTATAAATAATCGTAGATATTTGCAAGGGAATTCTTCAAAATTTTTTATATCACCAGAATTGCTTCTTTAACACATTCATCGTAAAGAAAGTTAAGCATAAGTTATGTTTGAATCGACTGAATGTAAATGTTTGAAATTACCGCAACTTAATACGCGAAACATGGTAATATTGAAGCTTTGTAGTAAAATATAAAAATACAATTAAAAAAAATATTGTTTTGTCGACTATCCTATATAAATATGAAATTAATTATTCGGATAAAAACCAATAGGTTAATTGTACGTCAATAATAAGAAATATGTAAATTTCAATAGTTTCTATATGCAACACAAATTACAACATGATTTAAAGGTCAAAGTTAACGAGCTGAATTCTGAGAACCATCTATTTTCGACCTGTATTTAAGAAAAACTTAGAACTGAGAATTGCAGGTATAATTGCTATATGTTACGCTTTTGTTTGTTCCCTGTGTTTTGTCCTATAGTTTTAACTAACTTATGTAGAATACGTATATGTATGCGTATTTCAGAATATTAAACCAAGAGCAAAAAAGTAGTAATAAACTAAGCAGTAATGAACCGACAATGAGACGTACAATTTGATTTATTGTCAGTGTACACAATAGGGTCATTTAACGTAATAAATGTTGTTTTAAACATAAATTTTGTTTACTTTCGTTTATACTTACAAACTGTAGAGACTTTTTACATATTTTCATTTTACTTTATTCTGTATTATTACATTAATTTTATCTTATTTTACTTTGTACGTTTATTTATTTTATTTTATATATTTTACATATTTCTATGGTCTTTGCACGTAGGGAATAAAATATACATATTGTAACGTAATCTGCATACAGTGAATCATAAAATTACTGATACAGGCATAACAGGACTGGAATAATTAATAAGATAATGTCAGAATTTTTAATATTGCCTTTTATTAACCTATGTGTATCCGATTTATATTCTAAACATACGAAAAGCAACATACGAAAATAATTATTTATATATGACCATGGAATAATGGAATACAAGAATTCCTTGTATTAATTAAGATTACAAATTTATTGACACATTTATGTAATTTTATCGTTAGAATATTTTTTAACGAACACCTTTCGTTTCATAAGTAATTCGATCCTTTTTAGCGTTCATTTATGAATATATTTTGCAGGTTAATTTAATTAATAATAAAATGTTTATATATTTTATTCCACACCATTTCAATAGAATTCAGCAAGTGTTTATATAATTTTTGGGTAATTGTATAATAACTACTTTAATATAAATTTTTATTCATGCGTAAGTTCGTCAAGCGGATAAACGTGAAACATATCAAGAAACACTGTACTCTTACTAGTTTATTCCAAACATTATGAATCCTTTTATTTTTATTAGTATATGAATGTTTTAGGACCCATTAAAATCATAATATTAAGACGCTACCCGTTGTTTGTCTGTACCGTAGTTACTATTTACAATTAGTATACTCTCAAACTAAAGTATTTTAATTACGAACTGTTATAGTTAACTAATACACAAATAAACATTGTAACAAGTACCTATATGTTCTCTCTATACATATTCCAATTTAATCTCACTTTTATATCAAATTCTGCAGAAGTTTACATACGAGTTTTTAGTAAATTCAATTTATTTCTTTTAATTCGTGATAGTTTCGTATAATTTATTTACGGTTATAGGATAATTATGCATATACATTTTTTCGCAAGACTCTATAAGTTATTTCAGTACAAACAAAATACTAAATGAAGAATCTATAGGAACTAATTTTCTACGTAGAAATTAATCTCCTTTCTTTTTTTAATCATAGTTAATCGAACATCTGTAAATCAGATGTTAAATAAATGATTTAAGATATCGTACTGTATCCTCAAAATAAAAAAAGAAAACGTTGCGAGATTATTTTTACTTGACTTAAGGCGTTTGTTATCATTTATCATGTATGTTGATAATTTTATAACGTAAAAAAATTAAAAGAAACACTGCACTCCGTTTCCCGGCAGTCATAAGGTATTATTTTGTTTTACGGTTATGCTATCTCAGGATTTGAACTGAAAATACTATACTAAGAATATATTGAATGTTTTTCATTATGCTTCTGTTTATCATGCTTTCGACAAGTTTTGCTTTATTTTTATAAATTTGTAACTCACTGTACATTTAGTTCATAATATTACAATGTTAATAACATTCAAAATTTGAATATTACTGATTACTTTATCTCTTTCTTCAATTACAATAGCAGTGTACAAGCGTTTGAATTTGTACAAACATCCGATTTCTAATCATCGTTGCATGGAATTTACTTTAATTTGCTTATAATCGATCATTTATAAGTTAAAGAAACAAAATAATTTCAGATCGATATCGGATGTAAGACGAGCGTCGTATCGAACTAGAACAGGTGACGTGCAGTGCATCGTCCCTATTGCAATGCAGAGAATCAATGTTAACAGATCATATAAGGACAAACCTAAATATAGAATATTATACTACAACTATAAAAACATTCCATTCTCATGTAATGTTTCAAAATTAATATTCTGAAACTATGTAAAAATTCTTCATTAGACCGGAAATTATAATTATATTTAACCTGAAATAGCATCTTGTGTCAATGTTTTCAGGGCGAATTTTTTAAATGTGAACGAGACATGTAATTTTTGATTATATATTAAAGTAAAGAAGAAGATTTAAATAATTTTAAACATATTAAAAAAATGGTGTCACATATATGTGATAATTGATCTTTAATCTGAAGTTACTATTAAATCTTCATCCAGATGTGCAATCTAAATGAAGATTTAAAAAAAGCTGCGGAAACAACTATCCAAAGAATTACAAGTATATATTTTAAATAAAATATATAACAATTTAAATCGAATTACGTTCGTAATAGTTGTTTTGGTAAACTTCGTTCTGTAATTATTACAAAATATCTAAGTCTGAACTACAAGCAACAATACAGAATTACGTAAAAAGCGGCGGAACAATTGTTAGTAAAATTACACTGTTGTTCAGTATGATGTAACTCTAACGTTCAGAAACGCTACCTGAGAAAATGTAGTATGTTATTAAAGACTTCTTATTATTATGTGTATTTTGAATGTATGTATGTATTTGTTACACATTACTATAAGAAAATTCTAGACGTCTAAAATTCTAGAAGTCAATAATTTTTTAATTAATTTATACAAATTTATTTATTCATACAGTATTTATTTATTACTATACATTTTTGTATCTTGAAAATTGAGAAAGAAATAGAAATTTCAGATATGATTTTCTTGAAACACTGCTGCTGATGAGTATATAAATGCTAATAAATATTTTTTAATATTTAAACATTTATTTTATTCGTTAAAAACTGTTCAGTATTTGTAATAACTAAAAATTACTTTATATTTTATCACTGTGTGTATTTTCTTAACTTCTGTTAATCGGTTTACAAACTTTTACATAGAGAAACAATAATCTAGAATCTTTCCTAATTGTTATAGGCAGGAAGTCGATGTATAATGCGTAATGCACACACTTGACTATGCTCCTTGACTCACAGCATACTAAGAGAAATAGGCGACTACGTCCAGTACCCTGTCATCCATGCAACGATATCTAAAAATCGCGAATTAAAAGTGAATTTTCATTAGTATTAATTGTTCGCAATGATAACGTTTATACAGGATGAATATCGCAAAAAATATTTTATTTTAATATCTTTAATTCGTAATAAATAGTTTTTCATTCATGACTTCGTTACAAAATAATTATTTCATGTAATTTCACTTTTCTAAATACAAAATTAAATTAATACTGCGTTTTTAATGATATAATTTATCATTAAATAAACATTTACTCAGACATTTTGTACACACGTATAAAAATCTATAATTTTTGATAAAGAAAAAATCTATAGTGGGAAGTTCAATTTTTCTGTTTTCTTCGCAATAATTGAAATTAGTTAGAAATATCGTAATTTTTGTTAAGAATTTTTTTTGCTTTAAGATAATGTTTTAGATTAATATCTTCATTAAAATGATTAAAAAATGTATTAAACCTTTGCTGTTGTTTTTATATTGTACTTCATAAATCTTTATATACATATAAATATATAAAATCCGTAGTTTATTCGTAAGGTTTATTTGTCATAAACAAACTCTATCGTAATGCACTTTAGTGTAATAATAAAAAAAAATTCGTGTAAAGTGGAATGAATAATATATAATATATAATATGCGCATGTACAATCCTATATATCAATCTCACATTTTCTAAAGAACTTACACAAATTGTTGCATGACATTATATTTGTTTATTCACCAAAATCTATACAATTGCGATATGTCAATGTCGATTATTACGTATTGCGATTGTCAATCGCTGCTTATCTGTTTTGAAGATAGAACACTTATCATGCCACATACAGTAATTTCAGTAAATATATACATATAATGTCATGCAACAATTACCGTCCTAATTCTTTAAAAAATTACATTTAGAATTTCAGATTATAAATCTGAGGTGTCTGTCTCTTGTAAACTATATACGTCACTGTTCGCGCTCCTACTGACCTGACTTTCGCGCCGTTATTGACGGATTTCTAAGTACTGAAAATTTGAAAACCTAGCCTCTAATACAATTTTGTTGCTTTTCATTTTCATCTTATTTTAATATCTAAAATTGTCCCTTAAAAATATGAACACCTGTGATTAAACACACGGCTCAATTTCACAAATAATACTTCAAATGCATGGAATAATACGTTTAAAAATGTATTACTATATTGGTAAATTGGTGAAAATGCTTAAACTTATTTAAATACTTGAGTCTGATTTACATTTAAAAAATGTGAAATCCCATGGTTCCAGGGTATATGTGGTCGGTTCTGAGTAAATTATGGGAAAGGTGCGCACGCATCCGAGTCAGCCTGGGAGGACTGATGAAAATACTACTATTCCTTAACGAGCCCTCGAAGCGACGGAAGCTTCTTTGATTATTGAAACGACGCATACAGTTCTGGTTTTGTTCTCTTTCGTCAATATTGATATCCTTTGTGCTTGATTTTTTTCTTGTTGAAGGTATTAAACAGTGAGTGATAACAATGGTGTCTGGTGGAATGACATGCGTCAAATATTTGACGTTTTTCTTCAACTTGATATTCGCTGTGAGTATATACTCCATGTTGTGTTCGCGCCTTCCGTCAACCTAAATTGTATTTCGTATTGCCTCCTTTTTCATCGAGTAGGTGCAGTTCACTGTGGATTTAAAAATCCTTATAAAAATAATATTGCATGTAATCGTTATCGATTATGTTCACTCAAACCAAAATCTATATCAATATGATTTATTAATAAATTTATTTGAATCCTCTTACGATCATTTAGGAGTGTTATTTCTGTATTTCAAATATGTTTGGAAGCTTCATAAACAATACATTTAACCACATATGTCAATTTGAATATATTAATGGAAATAAAGTAGTTAAAATATTCATAAATACGTTAACAATACATATTTAATCTTATTTCGTCTCTATTCCGTTTGAAATTGAAATAAATACTACTGTTACTTTTTGTTATGCGATACTAATCGATGATCAAATTAAAAAACAATTACTGCTTACTTACTTACTTACTTACTTACTTACATGCAAAATATGTTTGTACCTATCGTATTAAAAATACGAAGAAAATATTTAATAAACGCAAGACAGCGTTAAAAAGTATTTTATATGGCGAATTTTTTTATATTTGGTTGTAATATAAGAATATGTATTTATAGACGAACTTTCGGTTGTGTTATTAATCTAGAAAATATAATAATCAGATTCTATTTTTTTAACGCAACTATATATGTTTTATTATGCATTTATTTTTTAGTGTATTTTAATATAAATTCAACAATCTATAAAATATATACCTGATTTTGAATTATTTTTTAAATATTGCGCGTGTAAATTTATGGAGAAAACGGATCAAATATTTCTACCTAAATAGGACATATCGGTGATGATTCGAATTCGATCCCCATGTACAGCGTGTAAACATTGTCACTAGAGACAGATGCGGAGAAATAATGTTATATCTACTACTCGTTTGTGGTTTTGAATAAGGAGCGTGGTCAATACTTTTCTCGCTATACATGTTAAATAATGACCCAACACATAAATTCGACTCAAAACGATCATCGAAACTTATTCGGGCAGATTTTATTTCGTTTTGTTTGAAGTCTGTATGTATAACATTTTAGAAGGCATTTAAGATCAAGTATATATACTTTAAAGTTTATACTTGTTGAATTTGTATTTAAACGCATCATCAAATGAAGTACTAAGAAATATATATTTTATTTAAAAAATGAAGCATGATTATTATATCCATTAAATTAATAATATAAAAAAGTTCACCTTAATCGAAAAATGCCTTTACTCGCATCATTTAATTTTCAATAAATTTTTTTATTTTTTCAATACTTTAAGAGATATTCATTTTTTTATCTTTAAGCGCGGACACTCTTTATATGAACTATGTGAAATACAGACACATGTTGCGTGGGTTTATTAGTGTGCTTCTGTGTGTTTTTATATATTCTTACCTACACGTATTTATTCGTCTCTACCACCTCCAAGAATAACACATTTATATGTATCAAAACTTTATGATTGAATTCTTCTTTTGCAAACATATTGAATATTATTTTACATTACTTTTCCTAAAAACTATTACATTATGTAAAGGTGTATGACAAATCTGTTTAAATTAGAAAAATTCAATTTTTTTGTTTAGTACTGCACATATCAATAAATTGTATACATTTGTACAAATTTCGTTAATTTCGGAAATTTTGAACACTTTTTTGGAAGAATAATTTTATTATATTAAAAATAAGAAGCAAATTTCCTGTCTGTTTAATGAGCCCTTTTTCTCACCCTGTTAAAATGTAATTATATATTCAATTTCTATTATTTTGATTTGCATATTTATATATAACACATTTATGTTATATAATTTTATTTTTATTAGTTATTCATAATATATGCTAGCACAGTACTGTTATTTTCACTAAATGTCATTATACTTGACTATAAATATTGTATATGAAAATTATTGCTAAAAAGAATTATGAAATTTCTCTGATTACAGATAACAGGAATTGTGTTCATTGCAGTTGGCACTGTAATTCTTGTAGTTTATAGTGGTTATAGCAACTTTATGGACACTTGGTTCTTTGCAGCACCAGTTTTCATGATCATTATAGGTGCTGTAGTGTTTCTTGTGTCATTCTTTGGCTGCTGCGGAGCTGTGAAAGAGAATCACTGCATGATAATAACGGTAAAAGTCAATATATATATACATACATATATATATATATATATATATATATATATATATATTATTATTATTAATTTCATA